CAACCCATGGAAGCCATTTTCTTTTCCAAAGGCATGGCCTTTGAAAACAGCAATATTCACAAAAGATGATTGAGTGAGACTGGGAGTATTGCAAATGCTTAATTCCTATGATCTCACAGACTGGAGACGGGGTAAAAACTCCTTGCTTACCAAGTTCTTCATCCGTCATTGGTAGATAGTGATCCAACAATTCTTCCGATTTCTCCAGGACTGCTTCTACCCCACTTATGGCAAGTTTACCCATTCTTGTGTCTATGATCATCTCTTTGCCATCTTGGACAGCTTTGGCTACGGCTTCTTTGGCATCTGCTACTTTGGAGGACACCAATTCCTGTGTCTCAGAAATAACCTATGGGGATACCATTAAACAAGCTGCAACATTCCGTCTCTTGGGAAGTGGATGTAACGTAGTTCTAACCATTATTTTCTGAAGAATTACTCCGGGTAGGCAAAAACCCATCCAAATCTTAGGTTGTCAGAATCTATATTTGGAAAACAAGCAACATGTCCCTTCTATTGCTCTTTAGATTCCATTTACTTACCCCCAGCTGCTGCTCTGTTCCAAGCTATCAGATCAAATAAATCAATACAATGCTGAAATCAGATTTTACACAAGTTTTCATCCCCTGATCAAGTGGCTTCTAATTTTATATCCTAGTGCCGTGATGGCGAACCTATGGCACGTGTGCCACAGGTGGCACGTGGAGCCATATCAGTGGACACGCGAGCATTGCCCTAGCTCAGCTCCAGCGCACATGCGCACGCCAGACAGCTGATTTTCAGGCCTTCTGGGCCCACCGGAAGTCAGGAAACAGGCTGTTTCCAGCCTCTGGAGGGCCTTCAGGGGAAGGAAGGCCCGTTTTTTGCTCTCCCCAAGCTCCAGAGGCTTTCTAGGTCCCACCGGAAATCAGCAAACGGATTGTTTCCGGCGTCCAGAGAGCCTCCCAGGGGGTTGGCGAAAGAAAGCCTCTGGAACCTGGGGAGGGTGAAAAATGGGCCTACTGGGACCACCGTGCCATCGCGTGCCAAAAGCGGGGGGAGCTCGGTGGGGTCACATGGGCATGCGCAGGGGGATGGGGTGCATTGAATTATGGGTGTGGGCACGCATGTGTGTGAGCCCCCCCCCACACACTCCCCCGACTTTTGGCACGTGACAGCAAAAATGTTAGCCATCACTGTCCTAGTGTATTTTTGGATCTTTTCCCTCATGCTCTTGACCAGAAATAAGAACATTGGATTATTATCCCCAACATAAGGCAATTTTAAGACATATTGGAGTTGCACCCCAAACCTCTAGATGGGAGATTTATCTCCCATCAACAATGATATTAAAAGACAGATGTAAAAATAAGAAGTTCAGTTTACCTGGTCAGCTGTCTGATGGAGGAATGGCAGGTTCTCTTCCAGTTTATCCAAACCCTTGGAGGCATAGTGGCTGGCTACTGAAACTAGAGAGAGGCAGTTTTTAGTTTATAGGCTTTTGACATAACATCCAAAAAGTATTAACTATTTTTAGAATTCTAATCAATAATCACTGAATCTTCCTTCTCCCCTCACTACATTCCATTTAAATTTCTCATGGTATAAACTTCTGCAAATTAAAGTCTGTTACAGTTTACAGAAAAGATATTCCAGTTATATCCAGTTATTCGTTCTTTTATATTTTTATATTTGTGTATTGCCCATCCCACAAAGATGTGACTCTGAGTGGCTTTACAAACATGAATGTGGGCCTCCCAGTCCCATTTCCATCCTTACAAGAAATGTCACATTCTAACACACATCTATATAGTATTACAGCAATTCCTGCAATCCAGGTACCTTACTGAAATGACAGAAATTACAATATCGATGGGTAAATAAAGATTCGCTCCATATTGAACAGGAGTGAGAAGAGAGAAAGAGATAACCAAATCCTAGAATTGGAAAGTGATCCAAAACCACTGAAGCTCTCATATCTCACTTCTGCTCAGTGCAGAAATCCACATTAAAAGGTAAAGGTTCCCCTTGCACATATGTGCTAGTCATTCCCGACTCTAGGGGGCGGTGCTCATCTCCGTTTCAAAGCCGAAGAGCCAGCGCTGTCCAAAGATGTCTCCGTGGTCATGTGGCCGGCATGACTAAATGCCAAAGGCACACAGAACGTTGTTACCTTCCCACCAAAGGTGGTCCCTATTTTTCTACTTGCATTTTTTACATGCTTTCGAACTGCTAGGTTGGAAGAAGTTGGGACAAGTAACAGGAACTCACCCCGTTACGCAGCACTAGGGATTCGAACTGCTGAACTGCCAATCTTTCGATCAACAAGCTCAGCTTCTTAGCCACTGAGCCACCGAGTCCCTTAAAAGGGGCTATCTAATCTGCCCTGGAAGACCTCCCAATGAAGAGGAGTCAATTACTTTTCTGGATCATTGGTCTCACTGTTGAGAGATATGCAAGACTTCAGCAACAGACCACTAGATAGAATTCCTCACAATCATTACATAAGTGAACCAGTCCCAAAATCTACAGTGAAAATAAGCCCGTGAGGTGCCCCCAAAGACTTGCTGCCTCTTTCTACAAAGAGAAAATCTTGAGAATGAAGGCAGTGCCTTACTTTGGGGCTCAAGCTTACTCAGAAAAGGTTGAGCACTACTCATAGCCATCTCGGAGACATGCTTCACGCTCTTCTCTGCCAAATCCAATACGACTTTAACATAAGGGTGGTTCTCCTTAGTTGAGGTATAAACCGAAGCTGCCATTTCATAAGTGGAGCTGACAAGAGGTAGGTTGGTAGCTCTTGAAAGAACATCCTTTGGGGTATGATAGGAGAGAAGGTTAGTAAATAAATCCAATATTCAAACATGACTATAGCTAATACCTACAGAGACAAGGTTTCCTTGAGTATCCTCTATGTGTGTTGGGACTATAACTCCCAGCTGTATATGACTAACAACCCTTCTAGCGGAGTTCTGGAAGTTGCGATCCAAAACCAAACAAGGCACACAATAGATGAGGGTTGGTTTGTACACAATTGTGTTAGCAGTACCTTTGGATAATCTTTCTTCCCAACCACACTGGATCAATTCACAACATTTTAGCGCTTGTTGGCATAGGCACCAAAAACATACAATACGTAGATTATTATACCAAGCAACTATCTAATATATTATTCTTCAGAATTTGTTAAGCCACAACTACCCAACCGATTGTTCATCCATGTCTCAATACTCAACATAGATTATTAGCACAAAAGAAAAAATTGAGACACAAAGAGCACATAATGCCCATTGGAGCCAAGATGCCCTCATATACTGTGCTTGGGTATCTATGAGGCTTTTAGTCCACGTGTCCTTTTTTCAAAAAAAGAGGTTTAGAAAGTTAAATAGAAATTAAGAGAGTAAAACAAAGCTGGCATATTACAAGGAAAACTCCAGCGCTACTTTGATGAAATATCCTTTTGCACCACATAAAAATACTCTTTAACAGAGGGAAATTAGTTTCTTGAAGGAACTATTCAGCTTTTTGAACCATGGATGTTTTGCAACTGGCCACACTCACCCCATAGCAGGTACTTTATGAGTAGGCAAACTTAGTCATTTTGTGAGTGTGTCCATTCCTTGCCCTCAACGTGCTAGAATATGCCACCAACCCAAAAGGCAGACTACCCATTAATTCCAAGGAAAAGCTCCCCTATTTATAGATGGACAATGTCAGGGATTCAATAAGCTTTGTCTGCTAGTGTTAGGTTTAGTACATTCTAGGACAGGAAGTTAGGAAAATCCTCATTGTAGAGTGGAAGAGAAATAGACAATTCCTAGGAAAACTGCTGGCATTCCAGGTCAGAAAAACAGACCTAGGATAGGCCATCCCTTCTGCCTTTATTGCAGGGCTCCGAGATACAGGCTGCAAAAATTCAAAAGCGCACCAAACTTAGTCTTTTATTTTCATTGCCATCTAGTGGTTGCCTTAATTTTTGTAGCCCTGGCACCTTTGAATCAGTATCTTATTCCTGGATTAATTCCTGGAAGTTTCTTGGCAAGATTTTGGAAGTGCAAAGCAAGTCCCCTGCGCGCCACCCCACCCCCACCCCCATCCCCAATTGGCTTTGTGCATAAATGGGAACTAGAACTTCTGCTATCCAGGGTTTCTATAGTGGTGCCTTAACCCCTACACCCAGGGTCCCCAAACTTGGCAGCTTTCTCTTCTCTCTCTCTCTCTCTCTCCCTCCCTCCCTCTCTCCCTCCCTCCCTCCCTCCCTCCTGTTTTTCCTCTTCTTCAAAGCCAAGAGAAAGCAGAGCTTTCTGGAATACATCACTTTATTTAGATTCCTTGTATAAAACATGGATTATTTTGAGCTTTTAGTAAGAAGAATTCTAAGAAAAACAAACATTAAGGAATACAGTGGAACTACTGTAAATTTGACATCTTCCCATGACTGTTGCAAACTATTTGCCAGAACTGTAGTCTTGCCAATGTCAAAGGAATTATTCCAGGAAATGTATAATATTATCACAACATCTAAGATAGATAAAGTACCAATTAATAAATCACCACTATCTGAATGTGACGCATATCTTCATCTTCTGGGCAGCTTTGTCTCTCCCCTTTGCTGCACAAAGAGAAAAATGGACCAACAGCATCCACAGAAGGAGGGTTTTTTTTAAAAAAAATAATCAAAATGGCAGCCAGTATTGGGAGATCACAGCCACCATCTTGCCTTCATTTATCCTCTCTCCAGCAGATGCCTGGGAATTGGAGCTGTACAGTTTTTAAAAAGTGAATGTCATTCTGTGAATCACACTTAAATGCAAGTCCTATCTCCTGATGTGAGAAAGGCAGCTTAATCCAGGGGTGTCAAATTGGCGGCCCGAGGGCCGGATGTGTCACATGCAGGCCACGCCCACCCCAGCTCTGGGAAGGAAAAAAATCATGATACGTCACATGACGGCAACGTGACACCGCGAGTTTGACACCCGTGGCTTAATCCAAATTGACCTCTCTTTTGTCTCCTACAGGTTGTGTCTGGTACAAAAGAACTGATGACTTCTAAAGTCACTAATGCCAAAAATGCAGTGACTCGCAAGTTGTCAGGGATGGTCGGCATGACCAAAGATGTGGTTCAGAGTGGTGTGAAAACCACGGCCTCCCTTGTGAGCAGCAGCATGACTGTGGTGATGGGAACAAGAGTGGGAAAGATGGCCAAGAACAGTGTGGAAACCGTGCTGGGCCGGTCCCATGCATTTATAGATCACTACCTTCTCATCAGTGATGAAGACCTGAGTAAGTGCCCTCTAGAAAGCCTAAGAATGTATATATCTTGGAATGTTTCTGGAGCAGGGGTGGGTTTCACATATTGTTGCCACTGGTTCTCCCCGCGCGCACACGCTCGCTTCACTCATGCCTTCTGCACATGCACCCGGCCTTGAAAATGTGGTTAAATAGGACAGCATTATGTCCGGGTGTGTGGCAGGCCCGCCCGGGCCCAACCGCAGTCGCTGCTACCGATTCGCCTAAACTGGTGCGAACCGGCTGAATACCACCTCTGTTCTGCATGTTAATGATTTGGGCCAATAAGGAAGCACCACTGAAAGAAAATGTTGATAAAAGGTTAGGCAGGACAAGATCTTCAGAGGTGGGACACATGCTGTAGAACAGGGGAGTCAAACTGGCGGCCCGCGGACTGGGTGCGTCACACACAGGCCACGCCCACCCCAGCTCCATGAAGGGGAAAAAATGTCACGAAACGTCACGTGATAGCAACGTCAGACCGCGAGTTTGACACCCGTGCTGTAGAAGGATTTTCTTTTGACTCTTTAAAGGTTTTTAAAGAAAAGCTGGATGGTAACACTCAACAATGTTGTTACAGCAAATGTTATCACTCTGCTGAAAAATTATCTTGCATTTATTTTCACTTGGATGAAAGAGAATTTGCTTTCATTTACTGTAGTTCAAAGGAGAGAATTTCGATGAAATGCTCATGTGTGAAGCAAGCGCTCTTGCGCTTGAGCAACAATATAAAGTCATCTGAATGTTTTGACTGTAAAGTACAGTCACTTCTCTAGTGATTGGTAGGTTTCCTGGTTTCCCAAGCTTAATCATTTCTGAGGGAAGATATTATGAGAGGACATCTCTCCTTCAAACCTTTCAATTTTGCAAGTGTAAGTAGCCAGGGAGGCCTCAGAATGAAGAACTGGAACACCAAAGGGCATCGTTAGCGAGCTCTAACAATAAAGAACAATCAAAATGCCACCAAGAGAGATTTAAAAGAAATTCTCAAGCACAAGATGTAAATATCTGTTTTTTTTTGTTTGGTTTTATTTATTTATTTATTTATTTATTTGTTTCTTTGTTTCTTTGGACATGATCATCATGCAAGATCCAATGTGGATCGGTAACCTGGACCAGAGATTTACTCTTCTGAGCTTCAGGCTTGTTCTGGAGACCATTCTCAGGGAACATCTCTCTAGGAAGAAGTTCCCTGAGAATGGGCTCCATCATGAGTCCAGAAGCTAACCTCTGGTCCCGGTGACCAACCCAGATTGGATCTTGTAACATTATCCAAATATTTGCCTTCATTTGTATGATGTTCATTCTTCTCATATACCTTCCAAGCATCTCTGGGAGTTGGGCTATATAAATGCAATTAATAATAATAATACTTAGAAAGTCCGCACATTGACAACATTTCAACAGTTACAAAAAGCGACGCTGTTTGAATCTGTACATATACTACACTGATACATTACAACATCCTAGGTTCTTGAGAAGAACTCAGTGCAAATAAAGGCCAACACCAGCTAAAGAACTGCCAGTGGTGATTTCACATTGTTGTGTAGATAATAATGACCTACCCTGGAGCAATTGAGAAAATGTAAGAATGAAATTGGAAGGAAAAAAGACCTGCCTTATCCTATCTCAAACGTGACCAGTGTGTGACATACTATTTGTGAACACAACATCTGCCACACCTGCTTGGGCACAGGGGGCATAAAGTGGCAACAATAAATAAAATGCCATCCAAAGAGACATGGGCATATCTTCTAACATTGGAGTTCAACAGAACTGGAAGGTGAGATGAGTTTTGTAAGGTTCTTGCTAAAGAGGTAGTCTTCGACTTACGAACACAATTGAGCCTAAAGTTTCTGTTGCTACACTAGGCAGTTGTTAAGTGAGTTTTGCCTCCATGTTATGGCCCTTTTTTTGCCACAGTTGTTCAGCAAATCACTACAATTGTTAAATGAACCATGCAGTCGTTAAGTAAGTCTGGCTTACTATTGACTTTGCTTGTTGGAAGCCAGTTTGGGAAGGTTACAAATGACCCCAGGATGCTTCAACCTGTCGTAGGCAAGTTGCCAAGCACCCAAATTTTGATAATGTGACTCCAATGGTCTGTAAGTGTGAAAAGCGGTTATGGGTTTCTTTTTTCAGTGCTCTTGTAACTTTGAACGGTCACTAAATGAATGGTTCTAAGTCGAGGACTACCCGTATCCTTTCCTCTTACTTTTAGAGCCTGTTATTTACACTGCCTTCCTCCTTTCAGTGGATCTGAAAACATGTTCTCAAGAGACAGGGATGGATCCTGTGCAGGAAGTACAGACACAGATCAAGTGCAAAGGCTATTTGGCCTGCGTGCTTTCTCTCTTGAATAAATTCCAACGCTATATATCCCAGCAATCCTGGTGCCATCTGAGGCATGCTAATGAGAGTCTCCAAATAGTCCTTGAAAACACCTTTTCGGTAAGTCTCGGTCACTCTCCATTCTTTCTTTGCCTGTCCTTGGAAGAAAACACTCACCTCCATATTTATTTAACACATTTCTGCACCTATTCCTGAATCTATGAGGGAAGGGAGGTCAAAAAAACCCAAAATGGCATCCAGTCCTGTACACTCAAAGCAGCCATTGTCAGAGCTGCCTCAGCTTGAACCTCTGAGTAAAAACGATCCTTAATTCCATTTATTGATATAGGTATAGTTTACTAGAAGTCAAGTGAATTGCAGTAATGCATAGCCAGAACTGAGAATCGCATGCTGGAATCCCCAAGTCTAACTTTTCCCTCCCTTAGTTGCCTCACGTGACAGGGTCCCTCATGTCCAATCAAATTCAAATACAATGCTTCCAGAATGGTCACTTCAGGCATAGGTTGGTATGCAACTGCATTCCTTTCCCAGCTGGTTGTCCTTGAAGCCGATCTCGGAGAGATGCAGTGAAGTTTTGTTACCCTTGAAGCATCCCATCTCCCAACCAGCCCATCCTTGAGTTCATGGCAGAGGAGACTGAATGGTTGTGAAGCACATGAGTGAGGTGACAGTTGACAGCCATCTTGATTTTTTTGGACCCTTGATGTCCCAGGATATATTTTTTAAAAAAATCTTGAACAAAATGGAAATAATTATTGAATTATCTTCATTATACATTTGTGTATATTTATGAGAGAGATGGCTCATCCCTACATATTCATGATTGGATCAATGTGTGGTACTTGCCCTTCAGTGAGTCCATCTTGGTTGTTCCCAGAAAGTCTGAGAGATGGAGTAGGGCTCAATTTACACACCATAATAGATTAATGCAGTATTTCCTAACCTTGGTCACTTAAAGATGTATGGATTTCAACTCCCAGAATTCCTCAGCCAGTGACCAAAGTTAGGAAATATTGCATTAGGGTAACTAGCATTGGTAGTTTGCAACTCCGTGATGTGGGAACTCAGCTATTCTCTTAACACATTGCATGATATAGGCCATTGCTTTAAATCAGAATAAGGTTAATCTTGGGAAGAGAATAATGTGTTATGTGAACACAATAACTGTGGGTTGAACATTATCTGGACCCAATCTTATACATAGCAATGACATCAACCAAAAAAACACAAGACCAAAATTGTTGGCTTTTATTATTTTCTTGTTTCTTTCCCCCCATTTTAACTAACATCAGTCCCTACCAGTTGCCCACCATTTTTTATCTTTAAATGAAAAGGTTTTTAAAAAGAAAAATCACTCTGAGAAAAATTAATTTGGGTTTTCTCAAGAACCTAGAAATGAGACTAAGTTGATTCTACAGCTTGTTTATTTTAAAAAAAAATAAATGTTTTCCCAAACCTGGTGCCCTTTTAATATGGAACTACAACTCCCAGGATCCCTAATCTACACGTTGGGTGCTCCATTCCGAACCTCCAGAAAGTGTCAAATTATAGAAGATTGTTCAAGTGTTTTAATGAAATTAATTTGTTTTGAAATCTTGGATCATACCTTTTGGGGGTCCCTATTCAACCTGTGTGAGGCCAATGGGAAATTAGAAATCAAATGTAAATAACGGTGCCACAGGGGCAATAGAAGAAGCAGAGTTGTCTCCTTCAGTCGGCTGCTGGCTGGTGGAGGATGGGGAGAGAAAGTGAATTTCTGCACCTGTGCAGTGTCTGCCCATTGCCTGGAGCTGCCTGAGATGTTGAGGTGATGATGTTTGGGGACATCAAATCAGATTACCGTATTTTTCGGACTATAAGGCACACCTGACTATAAGACGCATCTAAATTTAGAAGAGGAAAACCACAACAAAAAGTGTTTAGACTCTGCACACCCCATTTTCGGCCTTTTTTTCAGCCCCTTTTCAGGACTTTTTCTGGCCTGTTTTCAGAGTTTTTTTGGCCCATTTTTTCAGCTTTTTTCAGCCCATTTTTTGAGGCTTTTTTCGGCCCATTTTTTCAAAATGGACTGAAAAATGCCTAAAAAACAGGCTGAAAAAAGCCCTGAAAATGGGATGAAAAAAGGCCTGTAAAAGGCCGAAAAAAGGTCCAAAAACAGGGTGTGCGGAGGCCAAAAAATGGCCAGTGGGTGGGCGGGGCTTTGGCAATATTCGGTCTATAAGAAGCCCCCTTTTGGGAGACAAAACAATGTGTCTTATTGTCCAAAAAATACATTGGGCCAGCCCTCCACAAGAGTCTGTTTGTCCTGTAGCCCCTTGAAAAAATTAACTGACCACCTCTGATATACTGTACATACAATGGAGGACTATCACAATTGAGCTATGAACCCCCTTACAGGGAGCAACTACATAGACCCAGGTCAGCATTTCTCTCCTTTCCAGTAGCTCTTTAACTTTGAAAAGTGACTAGTTTTCCATGAGCAAATATATTTGCCTCCATTCATGGTTGCTTAAAATAGATTTGAGTAATAGCCTCTGCCAAGCAGCTTCTGACATGATAAATTTGTTGACCTATTTGCAACCACAATAGTCAAGGGAGTTATTATCTAAAGTACAAGAACCTCATGGAAGGACAGAGTCACACATGGTTCTGCAGGATCACAGAGAAAGAAGGTACAACCAACTCTGTCAGGCCTTGAAGTATTTCTTGCAGCCAGGGTTAGCTGGACCTCACCCAAGGAAAGTAGTTGCTTTAACAACAGAGAAACATCTTCTAAAGGCTGAAGTTGCTATTAATCCCATTTATCCACTTTCTTAAAGGGTCATTGCTCAGGTCCACAACCACGGGCTCAGAGAAGTGGTGAAATCCACTTACCTGCGCAGATGGTAAAAAAATTGGATGTAATAACGTCCCGGCGGGTGGGCGGAGCCTCCCGCCACCAGTGCTACCAGTTCCGCAAACCGGATAGAACCGGGGGGGATTTCACCGCTGGCTCAGAGTTGACCTTCAGGGCTGTAGAAATCCATTAAGCACATATCTTGTGCTCTGGACAAGTCTTAAAGAAGGAGATAGTTATGCCCTAACAGCACTTCTCCCCTTTTGAATTATTTTTTTTTAGTCAGATAATTTTACTGCTATTATTAATTTGATTGAGTCATTCAGTTAAGGGCATAAACTGAAAAGGAGCATATTGCAAAAGGGGGAAGTCCTGTAATGGTATGTGGGAAAGACCTTGTGTGACGGAGCCAAGAGACACTGCGAAGGGAACAATTAGATAAGAGACAACATAGTTTGCAGTTGTATAAAGGACGGGACAAGAGTCTCAGAAGAGACTATCCCTCAGGCTGTACAGGAGTCGGGGGAGAATTGTACTTTCAGAATTGCAAGATTGTCGTCGGCTGCTACACCATCAAGAATCACAACCGGATGAGTTAATTCTCCTTCATTGTAAACTACATTGACTGAACCTTGCACTTTTCAGCATTCAACCAGGGTTGTTAAAAAGGGAGGTTCGGTCATTACGGTTTTCTTTATTTGTTGGAAAGATGCAAAAACGATGCATTTGTCTTATGCCACGCAGATCACCTTGTAAGAGAGATGGGCAGCATGAAAATTTAATAAATATATCTGTTTTGTATGGACAAAGCAACAGCCAATCTCCCAGTGATTTTATTCCCTCCCAATCTGGGACAATTGTGCTCCTAAGGCAGAGAAAAGTTAGAAAACTTAAGGTGAGCAGAAATGGAACGAGAGAAGGAACCCCCAAATGGCTCAGTGGCTAAGATGTTGAGCTCGTCGATCAGAAAGGTCGGCAGTTCAGCAGTTCGAATCCTGCGTGAGCAGGGGATTGGACTAGATGACCTTCAATATCCCTTCCAACTCTGTTACTGTTACTGTTGCATACTAAGTCCTGCCTAAGTGCATCCAAACAGATTGAGCCTCCATCACTCAGGAATAAACTTTGAACAATTCCCTTAAAGCGGATAATATAGAACTCGTGTGATTTGCCTGCCTAAATTGATTTTATTTGGAATGTTGTGTGAGCGATTATTGGCTACTCTTGTTTTACTTTTCCCAATAACTCCCTTTTTGACAAACATCTAGAGATTTGGCTTCATTGGTTCAGAAAAGGCAGATAAGTGCACTTCTTCCGAAAACCTGCCCCTATGCAAAACTGCATGATTGCACAACGCCCCCTTGTGTTTCAAGAATAATTTCACTTTTGAATTGTTCGCTTCAGGTAGGAAGATCCAAAGTAGCTTCCTTTCTATTTTTTTTTTTCTAGAACTGGGCTTAAGAGAAACTCCTTACTAGGAGGGTTAAGGATCCCCAGTTAAACTGAGAGGATTGGGTCTCTCATCATTAACTTGCTGAAGAATTTCTGGGAAAAGGGAATTAAATTATCTGTCAGGTTGTAACATAAGATAATTATTAGCATACATTAAGTTATTGTTAAAGGCGTAAGAACTACAGGTATTCCTCGACTTAAAAGGTAGCGCCATGGTGGCGCAGTGATTAGAATGCAGCGTTGCAGGCTAATTCTGCCGACTGCCAGCAGCTCGATCCTCACCGGCTCAAGGTTGACTCAGCCTTCCATCCTTCCGAGGTTGGTAAAATGAGGACCCAGATTATTGGGGGCCATAGGCTGACTCTGCTTAGAGAGGGGCTGTGAAGCACTATGAATCGCTATATAAATCTAAGTGATATTGCTATTCCTAATGCTACAATCACAATTGGACCCGAATTTCAATCCCTAAGCAATACAGTCATTAAGTAAGTCACCATCATATTACTGGTCCTGATTTTATGATTTTTAGTGCGGTCAATTAAGCAAATCCAGCTTCCCCTATTGATTTTACTTGTTGGAAGCTGCTACAAAATCATGATCACGTAACTGCAGGATGCTGCAGCCATCACAAATAAGAGCTTGTTACCAAGTGCCCAAATCATGATCCCATGACCGCAGAGAGCAGTGTGGTAGTCATGACCTCAAAAACTGGCCATAAGTCACTTTTTTCCGCCTCGTGGTAACTTTGAACTGTTGTTAAATAAATGGTCATAAGTTGAGGACTACCTGTAGTGGGGAAAAAACCCAACAATCGTGCCACAATATATGTCACATTGAAAATCTATCTTTCAACAGAGGCCATAGCGCTGATAAAAATGCTTGTTTTGTCCACATGAGTAAGATTCATGTCTGACATTTTGGAAAGCCTTTAAAGCAGGGATCTCCAACCTTGGCAACTTTAAGACTTGTGGCCTTCAACTCTCCCAGCTTTGCTGGCTGAGGGATTCTGGGAGTTGAAGTCCACAAGTCTTAAAAGTTGCCAAGGTTGGAGACCCCTGCTTTAAAGAGCAGCTTAGAAAAATCTGAAGACAATGGAACAATGGTTTAACTATAAAACCTTTCCAATTCTAATAATCCCTGGTGTATGTTTTTTTTTATTTTTTCACCCTCCAGGATTGGAAAGGTTGGCTAATAGCCTTGTACTACACCATTACACTTCCCCTGAGGACTGTCTACCTGATCCTCATCTTTACTGTTGAAGAATTTTCCGCCAAATTTAACGAGAGCGTCCCCCAAGCTTGCTACATCCTAGAAGACCTCAAGTTGGTCCTGTCTGCTCTCACTTGCCTTCAGGAACTCTGCTGGAAAATCTTTGCCCGCGTCTGGGAAAAAATGTCTGAGGAAGAAAACCTCAACACACTCTTGAACTATATCGTGCAAACGCTTCCCTTCTGTTTCTTTGCAAACCACTGCAAATGTAGGACCGCCACCGATTGCACCGCAAAAGCGTTAAAGGCCATTCAGAGGGTGCAGGCCTCGAAGGACAGTCTTCTTGGACTGGAGGGAAGTGGAACCTCTTCCATAGTTGCGGCCTCTTGAAATCTGCATCTGGTCACCCATGGGGGGGAAAAAAGTGAGATGCAAGGGTTTGGACATATGAAGGGGTTGTCTCTTAACCGAAATCCCAAGGCAACTGCAAGCTTACAGTAAAATAGGAAATTGACTATCTGACACGTTCGTGTGTTTTTCTTATTCTCAGCCATCTCTGAATCCCACACAACTACTGGGTGAGAGATGGAAAGGGAAAGCAGAACAGTACCAGAATCTCAAAGTCCTCATATTATCGTAAGGTTGAAGGGTCCAACAATACCAACAATGATTGTTCCTTAGAAGAGTTCAATTTTGGAACCATCTAGGGCGGGGTGTGTGTGTGTCAAACTGGCAGCCCGCAGGCTGGATGCGTCACGCGCAGGCCACGCCCACCCCAGCTCCGCGAATGGGGAAAACCATCACGAAGTGTCACGTGATAACATGATGTGGCGAGTTTGACACCCATTATCTATTCTAGGGGCAGCAAATCCTAGATTTAATCCTAAATCGTGATAAAATAAGTTGCAAGAAATAATTCTTACGGAAGCAACTGGAAAGGACCATGATTAATGTTAATTTCAGTCACTCCACAGGCAAACACAAACTGCCATCTGGAGCTAATAATAATTAAATGTGATTCAAAAGAGGAAACTTCTCAAAAATCTTGAGACTGGGATTTAAAAATCCAATAGAAAAAATCAGGTGTGCCAAATCTCTTAATGATTCCTGCAAGTTAAAACTTGAAACCAGGGGTGAAATGCTACCGGTTCGGGCGAACCAGTAGTAATAAAAGCTATGAGTTTGGGCGAATCAGTAGTAAAAAAAACCCTACTGGTTCGTCTGAACTGGTATTCCGACGATCAGCTGTGCCGCACGATTTATATTCTAAATTGCGCGGCACAGCTGTTCCCCCCCCCTCACTGTTCTACTTACCTCCTTTTTCCGTGCAAAGCGCTTGTTTGGTGCGCACTGAGCATGTGTGCATAGTGCACATTTGGCACACAGTGCACATTTGGCACACACCACGCATGTGCGGGCAGTGAATCGGTGACAAACCGCGGAGGATTTCACCACTGCTTGAAACATTTAGCAAACCTGGCAAATTTTACACTTATGTTTAACACATTTAAAGGCCACAACATCCCTTGATGGCTTCTAGGCAGACTTGTTTGATTTTCCACTTCTTAGCTGACCCCATTTCACTACACCATTCTTTTGTTTGCAGTTTTCTGACTGAGTCCTGTCCATTCCACAGTCTCCGGCAAGAATTTTCACACTCATCCATTCCTACTCTAAAGTGATTATTATTAAATTGTCATCAATGGGCAGTTTGAATTAATGAGCAATCCAATTTCAGAAATCTGGATAAACCAAATTACCACATAAGCACCAACTGCACATATTTATTGATAATTATTGTCAGAACTTTTATTATCTGGGTGCTTCATTCTACTCCACACAGAGAGGCTTCAAACAGATTAAAAAGAATTCTGCGCTTCCTATTACTCTACTAAGAAGAGCAAGGTTATGACACAATTACATTTATAAATGGCCCTTTTGCTATAAGTACCGTGTTTCCCCGAAAATAAGACCCTGTCTTATATTTTTTTGAACCCTGAAATAAGTGCTTGGCCTTATTTTCGGGGAGGTCTTATTACTTTGGGGTGGTTGGAACAAGATGGGGCTCCTCTTGCCGTCTTACCTGATTTCCAGCTCTGTCTCCCTAACCCTAACCAGAGGAAATGGTGGGGACCGGCTGCACGTGCAGTTAAATATTTTCAGGGAGGGCTTATTTGGGGGGGGCTTATTTTAGCGCATGCGCTCAAAAGCCCAACTGGGCTTATTATCAGGGGATGTCTTATGGAAAACAGGGTAGTTCTTGACTTATGACCACAATTAAGCCCAACATTTCCATTGCTAAGCAAGGTAATTGTTAAATGAGTTTTGTCCCATTTGACAATCTTCCTTGCCATAATTGTTAAGTGAATCATTCAGGCATTAAGCAAACTTGGCTTCCCCCATTGACTCTGAACACAAAGTGAATGAATAGTATAAAATAAGTGTACTGAAGTGGTGGTTTTAATAACTCAAGATGCCAGACCAATATAAAGGCAATGTCATGAGCCCAATGGCATACAAAAGCCCTGGTTGAAAAACAAAACCAATCCATCCATCTGGCAGACAAACTCCATTTATTGTGAATTACAAATTCAGCATTACTGGTTTATGGTAGCTATTCAGATGTAAGGATTCCAAAGTGTATTTAAAAACAAACAAAACAGCCAAACCACAAACAGATCCAAGACTTTGTCTTCTATGATTCTGATCCCACCTGTAAGCTCCAGTGAAATTCATTATGTAAACTTGATGATTCACAAAAGCAATGGAGCTTGGATACCGCTACTCCATCTTAACCCCTTAAAAAAAAAACAACTAAAAAGGACAAACAGATGCAATAAAAATGTAAACCTGTATACAGAAATTAACCATTCTCAAACTATGGATCGCATTTGGAGTGGGCTATAGATTTTAAAATAAAGCTCACTTCACTTCACCCCTACGTGTGGTATAAAAAAAAAAAAACCCAATCATCATGTGATTTGTCAATTCAAACTTAGTAGTTTACTATATACAGGTCAAATAATATAGATGTTAAAATAAAGACTCGGGGTGGAGTGACTTGAGACACAATAGATAATCCTCTTTGGAATGGCTTCTGGGTTCAAATGAAGCCTTCTTCCTCATTGCCTGGAATTCAGCAAGCGCTTGTTCTCTAGGACAAAGGATATCTATCTTTGGACTCCTTGAGGAAGGAGGAAGAAGGTTGAAGAGCATCAAGTAGCCCTTGGGTTGAGCGTCAAGCCCAACCCAACTTGACGTTTTCCAGATGTGTTGAGATTACAACTCCTCAGATTCCCAATGCATCTGGAAGGTACCAGCTGGGCTATAGGATGTGATCCTTGTCTCTCCATGGTTAGTGCACCTAGGACCAAGGGCTACTATATTTGTGCACTGAATTGTATGGCAATAGGAAGGACGGTGTCCCTTTTGTTTTCTACAGCGAGAACATGAGAAGTGTATACAGACCTGATAAAAAGCAAAATCAGTGTGCAATAAGGTGGAAAAGGAGGATTACCAACAGCGTGCGTGCATGTATTTCTTGTGTGGTAATTATGGTAGTTCTATATAAATTAGCTATATTGTTTTATACATGTGAACTATGACCTAAAACTTTTTTTTTCTTCCCTCTTTAAAACTATAATTTTCATCGCTCATCTTATTATTATTATTTTTTTAAAAAAATCTAATACTTCTCTTGCCATGTCCCTAATGGCAATCATGGAATATTAATATAAAAGGTGTGTATTTTTTTTTTAAAAAAAGTTGTGATATTGGCTAGTTATGTAAGTTTATAGCTAAATGAAGTAAATAAGTATTAAAAGCCTTCTATTATTAGTAGTGCCTTATACATAACATTTAAAAAAGCGAAATGTATATGTTCTAAAACTGTTAACTAGTTTTTAAAAAATACAAACAAAAAAAAAAGAAGAGAGAGAAACATGATCAGTACCACTGCTGATTGCAATTGTCCAAATTCAGAGAATTAACTATAACTTACCAAAGGGAGCGGAGGAATGCTACTTTAAAATGATGAAAATTGTACTGATGATGCTAATTCGTCATGGACTACTTACGGAAGGAAATGGCCAACTTGGCATGTTTCTTCCATGCCTTACTCTAAAGTGCTGAAAGGGAAGAAAAAACGGGGCTCATCCCACTTAGCTACAAGAAGGATATTTGGGTGGGATGCATAGAACCTCATTCCTTGCATCTCTCCTACTTTCCTTTTATGGAAAGTAACACTCCTTCGCTCTGCACAGGACCTTACTGATGGAGAAGGTGACCTCCACTTACAGGTATGACCCAAGTGATGGATTAGGCACTCCAGCAACAACACACATGGCAATCTAGGAGCCTTGGTAGTACAGTGGTTTAAAGCACCCTGTTATTAAGACCAGCTGCCTGCAATTACTGCAGGTTCGAATCTCGCCAGGCTCAAGGTTGACTCAGCCTTCCATCCTTTCTAAGGTAGGTAAATTGAGGACCCAGTTGTGGGGGCAATAAGCTGACTTTGTATAAATATACAAAAGGATGAAGGCTATTGCTTAGCACATTGTAAGCCGCCCTGAGTCTCCAGAGAAGGGTGGCATATAAATCAAATTAAAAAAAAAATCTGTGATATGATGTCGGAGAGCAAAGAGGGAGAAGGCCATGGTTCCATCAAAGGTGATGGATCACTAAAGATGGTGAACCTATCATATAGTGTTCTGTAGATCACGATAGGCTTATAGGGAATTATACCAAACCTGTCTACAGTCAAGTCAACAATAAGTCAATAGTAGCAAAGAGGTTGACTTTGCCTTGACTCTTGAGGGCCCACTGTTCAGGAGCTTTGCTTGTGAATGGACCAGCCTGTGTTCCTCCTATCCTGGCTCTGGCTTTGCCTCACCTATTTGGGATAGGACCCACAAGTGGAAGGTGTGCACAGCAGATGTCCCTCTCCTCCTGTCTGGACACACAGTTTGTGAAGACTTTGTCAGTAGAAGTGTCTCTCTCTTTCACAGCATGTTTTTTTTTTTTTTTTGAGGAATAAGGCTCTCGTTACAAGGCACTACTATTAAGACAAATGTTTTAAGACTGAATATTAAATACAGTGCTAATATACATGGTTTCCTTAAAAACTGGGATAATGTAGCCAACCCCGCCCGCCCCTCCCAAGTAAACCAACAAAAACAAACATAAATATATATAAAAAGAAGAGGGCACATTTAGCACTTCTGTTTTTGAAAACCGACTTGGTCCAGCGTAATTGGTGGCTTCCTTAAGGCTCCTTTTCAAATTGTCTCAAACCTGCTGAAAGAAAAAAAAAAGTGGTGGGATTGCCTCGAATCACCAGAAATGTTAACATTTGGGGCTTAGCTGGGAAATCCTTACTTGCCCAAGGACTTGCTGATTTAGGTTGCAAAGCTAAGATCACATTTTAAGGACTATACCAGCTTTCTTGCTTGCTCATTCCCCACAATCTAGAGGAGAGTTCCAATAGATTCAATCTTAACCACTTTTAAAATAATGTCCACTGATTGTTTATTTTCAAAAGGCAAATTAGTGAAACTCCTAGTTTTTTTAATGGGTCCATACAGTGGTGAAATCCAAACTTTTTTACTACCGGTTCTGTGGGTGTGGCTTGGTGGGCATGGTGTGGCTTGGTGGGCGTGGCAGGGGAAGGATATTGCAAAACCTCCATTCCCATCCCACTCCAGGGGAAGGATACTGCAAAATCCCCATTCCCTCTCCACTCTTGGGGGAAGGATATTGCAAAATCTCCATTCCCACCCCACTCTGGGGCCAGCCAGAGGTGTTATTTGTCGGTTCTCCGAACTGCTCAAAATTTCTGCTACTGCTTCTCCAGAACCTGTCAGAACCTGCTGGATTTCACCCCTGGGTCCATACTTCTTACTGCTCCCAGCTCAAATTTTACCTCCTCAATCATGTGGGAATGCAGAGTGGTGCGGTGGCCTAGAGGTGGAGCTATCGCCTCACAATCCGGAGGCTTGTGAGTTCGATCCTAGGTAGAGGCAGATATTTCTCTCTCTGGGCAAACTGAGAATATATCTGCTGAACAAAACTCTGCATTGGTGACAGGAAGGGCATCCGGCCAGTAAACACTCTGCTAGCTCCATCCAGTTGCCCAGACTCCACAAGGCAGAGGTAAAATCCAGCAGGTTCTGACAGGTTCTGGAGAACCGGTAGCGGAAATTTTGAGTAGTTCAGAGAACCAGCAAATACCACCTCTGGCTGGCTCCAGAGTGGGGTGGGATTGGAAATTTTACAATATCCTTCCCCCAGGAGTGGGGAGGGAATGGGACTTTTGCATTATCCTTCCCCTGGAGTGAGGTGAGAATGGAGATTTTGCAATATCCTTCCCCTGCCATGCCCAGCAAGCCACACCACACCCACCAAGCCACGCCCACAGAACCGGTAGTAAAAAAATTTGGATTTCACCACTGCCGCAAGGGATTATGGGGCCGATAAAAGATGATGAGGGTTCATGCGGGAATGCAATATTTTCATACATCGAGCTGCAAAATTGGGTTTGAATCAGCTTATTCTTGGGTAAGTATGTCTCAGTACTGGCATAATGCCCGAAAAGAAATGGATCCTGTGGAGAATCATTAAAAAGATTTCAAAAAGCTCATTAATTCCTACTCAAGTTGGAGATGCTTAATTGGACAAGTACGGAGCTGAACAGGAAGGAAATAAGAGTAATTATACTTAGCAAGCAGGAATGTGAACAGAAAGACTATGATATATCTTACATTAACCCATAAAGTGCTTGGCTAGATTGTTTATAAATGGATCCAGACATTGCTGTATGCAAACCATGGTTATGGACTTTGGATTTGAAACAAGTCAGGAAAGTGAATATTCTGTTGTTTGCGTCTTACAGATTCCAGACAAAGAGCCCCATTTGCCATCTGGGACAAGCCACTAGGGAGGAGAGACTGTCTGACAATCCATTAATAATATTAATTAATTAATATTAATAATATTAATTCCAAAATTGAGGCTTGGGCCCCTTGCCTGATCCCAAACACTGAAACTCTCACTTTTGCTTACCATTGGTCTCCAATTTCCTTCCTGCTGCTGTAACCTGATTCAAAAAAAAAAGAGAGAGAGAGAGAGAGAGAGAGAAGTTAAAAAAAAAAAAGGACACAAAAAACATTAACTGTCCCAAAGGTGCTTTTTTCCAAGAGGCAACTGAACTTTCTGGGTTTTTCTTTGAAGAGGTTTCGCTTCTCATCGAAGAAGCTTCTTCAACTCTGACTGGATGGTGAGGAATGGAAGGATTTATATTCCTTGCAGACAGCTGGCCATTTGCATTTTTTAAGAGAGTCATTGAGGCTACTTGGAGGTTTATCTGTGTCCTCAGGGTCACCTGAGTGGTGCAAATTTGTGTGGAGCCTTCCTGGAACTGCTGAAAGTTCTGTGTTGTACACTGGAGATAGATGGTGTCGTATCCCACCCCGTTGAGACAAGACTGTTCAATTTTGACATAGATGACTCTCTCTCATGAGGCCATCTATGTCAAAATTGAACAGCCCTCTCTCAACAGAGGGAGAGAGATATATGACATCATCTATCTCCGGTTTCAGCAGTTCCAAAAAGGCTCCACACACATTTGCACCACTCAGATGACCCTGAGGACACAGATAAACCTCCAGGTGACCTTAACAACCCGCCAAAAGAATGCAAATGACCAGCGGTCTGCAAGGAGTATAAATCCTTCCAGTCCCTACCATCCAGTCAGAGCTGAAGAAGCTTCTCGGATGAGAAGCGAAATGTCTTCAAAGAAAAACCAGAAAGTCCAGTTGCCTCTTGAAAAAAGCATCTTTGGGACAACCATGACCTGGATGACTGAGACAAAAACATAAACTGTTTATTAGCAGTAAATTCTGGATTATTGTTTGTTTAGTTAGTAGATCTTAATGATGTGGATATGGTGTATGAAGAATGAAGAATGAAGGCCATCGCGCACAAAGTGCGCACACAAAGAGAACCGGTAGTAAAGCTGGTTAGAACCCATCCCTGAGCATCCCCATACTCATGTGATCAAGATTCAGACATTTGGCAACTGACTCATATTTATGACGGTTGCAGTGTCCTGGGGTCATGTGATCACCTTTTGTGACCTTCTGACTAGCAAAGTCAATGGGGGAAGCCAGATTCACTTAACAACCGTGTTTCTTGTCACTTAACAAATGTGACAAGAAAAGTGGTAAAATGGGGCAAAACTCACTTAACAAATTTCTCACTTAACAACATAAATTTAGGGCTCCATTGTGGTTGTAAGTTGAGGACTACTTGTATTAGGAAAACAGTTAAGGATTTAAAGGTTAATTTATATCAGTATTCAGTTTTATTCTAATTGTACATTAATTTTTGTTGAAAATATTATTAGTCACCTTCGATAGAATAGAAACACAGGACATAACAGTACAGTACAAATAAATAAATAGTTTGGGATCTATTCTACATCATTTTTACTACCAGCCTGCCTTCCATTGAGGACCTGTATACTGCACGAGTCAAAAAGAGGGCTGTGAAAATGTTTACGGACCCCTCACATCCTGGACATAAACTGTTTCAACTCCTACCCTCAAAACGATGCTATAGAGCACTGCAGACCAGAACAACTAGACACAAGAACAGTTTTTCCCCGAATGCCATCACTCTGCTAAACATATAATTCCCTCAATACTGTCAAACTAATTCACTAAGTCTGCATTACTATTACTATTAGTTTTCTCATCATTCCTATCACCCATCTCCTCTCACTTATGACTGCATGACTGTAACTTTGTTGCTTGTATCTTACAATTTATATTGTTTCCTAGTATGATTTGATTGCTTATTTGTACCTTATGACTATCACTAAATGTTGTACCTTATGATTCTTGATGAATGTATCTTGTCTTTTTATGTACACTAAGAGCATATGCACCAAAGACAAATTCCTTGTGTGTCCAATTACACTTGGCCAATAAAAAATTCTATTCTATTCTTCTAGATGTGGCAATTATTATTATGCAGTGCAATTGAAGGGGACCTCAGAGATTATACCCCCCCCTCCCTCCTCCCCAAAATGGAATAGAATAACAGATGGGATGGTCACCTTTGATGAAGAAGGGGTCTTTTCAACCGACTGCTTTTCCCAAAGATTGCGTTTGCCAGATACATCTCCAGGTCGTAAGTCCTATTTCCCAAAAAAACAAACAAACCCCAAAGCAAGTATTTGAAACCAAGAACGGTGTAAAAATATATTATTAAAGTTCGTGGCATTTAAATAAACCTTCCCCAAAGATGAATTCATAGGTAGTAGCATGAGACTTTTAAACAATTTCTTTCGAAAATAGGTCCACAGCTAACTGGATGTACATAAACGTGCTGGAACTGGAAAGCTCATGGTTTTGCAGAGGAATTTCAAAACTCATTTACCTGACTCAGTTTAAAAGCAAACAGCCAGTCCGAAAGAAGAACAGAACAACGGAGAGAGATATATAGAATTCCAGTCAAGAAGCTGGTGGTGAAAGAGGGAAGAGAAGAAAGCAGTTGACTGAGAAAGAAGGAAGGGAGAGAAAGAAAGAAAGGACAGATTAGTACCAACTCACTTCTGTGAATAATTCTACTACAGTCCACTTATATTGTCCAGCCTTCTTATACGAAACATATTTATCTCTGAGCTTATGAACATCTGGCTGCTAGTTCTGAATAGAGAAGAATGTAGAAACAGGACATTGATACCATACCACAGCTATTTAAACCAGTATTTTAGCTCCGTCAGTAATCAGCTGACCATTTTCAGGCATCTCCTTCAAATGCTGACAACCTCAGTTGCAATTTCCATTTGGTTGCAAATTATAGAAACTATGGTCTAAGCCAGGGGTGTCAAACTCGATTTCATTGAGGGCTGCATCAGGGTTGTGTTTGACTTTGGGGGGGGGGGATAGGCGTGACAAGGGCGGGCGTGGCCACCTCGACATCACTCATGTCGGGGGGCCCTATGGTGGCCAAGTGCTAAGGCAGGACTTCCCTCAGACCCTCCCTCCCTCTCATTATAATCTCTCTCCTTCCTCCTTCCTTCCTTCCTTCCTTCTTCTTTTCCCTTCCTTTTCTTCTTTTCCCTTCCCTCTTCATTCTCTTTTCTTCTTCCTTCCTCTTTTCTCATCTTTCCTTCTTTTTCTTTGTCTTTTTCCCTTTCTCCTTTCCTGCCCTTCTTGCATGCTCAAATGCAAAAGGGGAAACATTTCTCCTTTTGCTTTGGTTTTAGATTGTTTTGCTAGCCCATGATGGCCTCCTGCAGCACTCTGCCAGCAAAAATGGGGGCCATTCTCGCTGGCAGAGTGCTACAGGAGGCCGTCACAGCTGAAAACTGGGCCCGGGGGGCGGGGGGGTTGCACGCGGCCCTCCCGAGCTCTGTTTTTCCTGGCAGAGGCACTGCGGGCTGGTCCTTTGCTGTTTCCACGGTGGCCCCGCAGGCCAGATCTACCTTGAGATTGAGACCCCTGATGTTCACCTCTGGAGAACATCAGGTTGAGTATGGATGTCCTTGGTAGCTCAAAACAGGGACAACCTTCTGCACACTGAGTTCTCACCATGGTTTTTATCATTTACAAATGGTAGAGTTTATTAATAGGTTCAAATATACATCAAAACCTGCATTATCCATGATGTGGCTTCTCATCTGTTCTGGTCTAGCACAGCGCTAGACTAAAACCCTAAACTCCTCTCTCAACTGCCTGGGCAATCAACCAGTGATGATGGCAAGGACAAGAAGCTATTGAAATGAGGGTCAGCCTCTGTGGATGGGCATCTCAAAATCCAAAGCCAGTAACGCCTACCAAAATAGCACTGAAGTTCTCTTTCCTTCCTGTAAAAATTATTAAACATTTATCTTGATTGCAGAGTAGATGATAATACTACAGAAAACAGAGGAGCAAAATACTCACCGATGGTTTTGAAGCAGCCAATTTGTTGCTTTCTGGGGTCTTGGTTAACCATTCATTGATGCGACTGGAGACGCCGACCTTCAGCCCAGCTGTTTCCTGCAAAATGTTTGTTTGTAAACAGAATTGGAAACTTCATAGTAAGAATTAACAGGGATGCATTAAAGCAGGGGAGTCGAACTCAATTTCATTGAGGGCCACATCAGGGCTGTGTTTGACTTTGGGGAGCCATGGTGGGCGAGGCCAGGGTGGGCGTGGCCAGCTTGACGTCACTTGTGTCAGGGGCACCTGTGGTGGTGCAAGTGCTCTGCCAGCAAAAACGGGCTCTCGAGCTCTGATTTCGGCTGCGATGGCTTCCTGCAACCCTCTGCCGGCGGAAACAAAGCTCAGGAGGGCTGCCTACAGCCCTCCCGAGCTCCTTTTTCACTGGCAGAGGCAGCGCAGGTCAGTCCTTTGCTGTTTCCAGGGCGGCCCACGGGCCAGATCCAGGGGTGAAATGCTCCCGGTTCGGACCTGATCGCCCGATCCAGTAGCGATGGAGGCCGGTGGTTCAGAGAACCGGTAGCAAAAATCCCTGAGCCCCTCCCCCCCATGCCCAGCTGAGCCACGAGATCATCAGAGGCTGTTTTTTTACTTTTAAAAGCATTTTTTCTACAACCTCTTCAGCCGAAAAAATGCTTTTAAAAGTAAAAGAAAAAAGCCTCTGATGATTGCGCGGCTCAGCTGGGATCGTCAGAGGCTATTAAAAGCATTTCTTCCTGCAATCTCTTCGGCCAAAGAGGTTGTAGAAAAAATGCTTTTAAAAGCCTCTGACGATCCCAGCTGAGTTGCCTGATCGTCAGAACCTTTTAAAAGCATTTTTTTCTGCAACCGCTTCGGCCGAAGAGGTTGTAGAAAAAACATTTTTAAAAGTAAAAAAAAAAAAAAAGTTGGCCACACCCACCCAGTCACATTACCCCCCTAAGCCACGCCCACAGAACCGGTAGTAACAAATTTTACATTTCACCACTGGCCAGATCTAAGCACCCCACGGGCCGGATCCAACCCCCGGGCCTCAGATACCTCTGCACTATAGATTGCAACAGTTTATCTACCGAATCTATGTGTCTTAGTCTGTAAGATTGCTAAATAAACATTTGTGCAATTTCACAAGAACATATATGAGAACGTGGAAATCTATAGCACAGCATCTTAATCTTAGGGCCGTGATGGCGAACCTATGGCACGTGTGCCACAGGTGGCACGCGGAGCCATTTTAGTGGGCATGCCAGCTCAGCTCTGGGGCGCATGCGCGCGCCAGCCAGCTGATTTTCGGGCCTTCTGGGCCCACCAGAAGTAGGGAAACAGGCTGTTTCCTGCCTCTGGAGGGCCTGGGGGGGGTGGGGAAGGCCCGTTTTTCTTTCTTACCTGGTTCCAGATTCTCTCTATGTATCTGGGAACGGCGAAAACAGCCTTTCCCACTTCCTTGGAGGCCCTATGGAGGCTCAAAGGGCCCATTTCCCCACTCCCGGTGGGACAGGAAGTGACGTCTTTTCCTGTCCCCAGCCTCCAGAGACTCCTAGAGAGGCTCCTACAGACTCCTAGAGAGGCTCCTAGAGACTCCTAGAGAGGTTCTGGAGGCTGGGGACAGGAAAAAACGTCACTTCATTCTAACCAGCGCGCCACCACGCACGTACCTTATTGGGTGTCCCCGTTCCAGAGGGTGATGCAAACACGTTGCCTTTCTCCCACATGCTCTTGATGTTACGAACTCCCTCAGCAGGAACCGGGAGGTCAGAAGCAGCTGGCTTGGTGGCCTTTGCAGCTTTGTTGCCCTGCAAGAAGCAATTGGTGAACCAGGGTAGCTGCTCTAATGTTACAAGAGTGATGTGCCACCACTCTTCTCCTCCTCCCCCTTTTTTTCCTTCCTTCTACTTTACCAGCTGCTATTGGGCTACAGCCTTCCTTCCTTCTACTTTACCAGCTGCTATTGGGCTACAGCCTTCCTTCCTTCTACTTTACCAGCTGCTATTGGGCTACAGCCTGGCTGAATCTCACCAATTTAAAAACCAACAATCAGAAAGAGAGGTGGCCAAAATAAATCCACAGTTTCCCCCAAGTTCATCTCATGTCAATCTCTCAAATATACCTCACCCAAAAGCCATTGAAAGAAAAACTGAGACAAAGGCTCAGACAGTGAAGGAAGCTGAAGTGAATGGGGCATTTGAATGAAATGTATTTTGTTTATTTGTTAGATTTATCCCACCTTTCTTCCAGAAGCTTTAAAGGTAAAGGATTTTATTCCGCTTGTCATTGCTGACTATAAGGGACGATGCTCATCTCCATTTCAAGGCCATTGAGCCAGTGCTGTCCAAAGACATTTCTGTGATCATGTGACCAGCATGATGTCATGGAGCACTGTTAACTTCCCACCAAAGTGGTACCTATTTATCTATTCGCATTTGCATCCTTTCAAACTGCAGGAGCTGGGGTGAGGATGGGAGCTCACCCTGTCACATGAACCGGCTTTCTAGCCCAGTTGCCCAGCCTTTCCAGCTTTGCAGACCGGGGGGGGGGGGGGATGGTTCTGCACAAGTGGCAGGTAAGCACACATGCGCGCAGCTTCATTTGTGTGAGTGGCAGGCATGGCCACACATACCTGCCGCTCGCACAAGTGGAGCTGCATGCATGCCCTTGCCAGCTGCTTGTGTTGCGGTCCGCCAGCAGCCTGCAGTGGCAGTGGAATCAGACAGTGAGGAAGCTGGGGAGGAACATGGGCCAGTCCTAGAGTCAGGGGAAGGCCCAGACAAGAGCTCTGCCTCAGAGGCAGAGATGGGGCCAGGGCCATCTGGGAGCAATGCATGGACTCCGGAGCCTCCAGAGGCAGACAGCAGAGAGGCAGAGGAACAGGAGGAGCCTGTTCCTAGTGGATGCATGCGAAGAGCTGCCAGAAGGCAAGAGCAGCTGAAGCAAAAAGGACAACTCGGGAGTAAGGCCAGAAGATGATTGGCCTCTCCCATAAGACTTAAAAGAGCAGCAACAAGCCGTTGGGTTCTTTGTAGAAAAGCAACGTTGATTCCAGTGCTTTTGTCAGCGTCTCTTGAACTTTGTGGGGTTTTTGCCAAGAAAAGCCTTTGGCAGGTTGCCAAAGACATCAAAGGTTGGTGATAAGGCCAACGGACTGGTTATGAAGAATTTGTTTTGGACTAAGCTGAGAATGAATTAATTCCCAGCTGTTTTAATAAAATAAGTTTGTTCAGGACTGAATTGTATTTGGTAATCACTACTTGAGCCTCAGTCACAACAGCCTGTACAAGTGGGGCTGTGCATGTATGTGTGCATGGTCGCCTGTTGCTTCTGTGTCTTGGTTCCGAATGACTCATGGCCCGGTAGTGGGCTGCGGCCCGGGGGTTGGGGACCCCTGTTATAGCCAACAAGCCCAGCATCTTAACCGCTGAGCCATTACATTGCTCCAGAAGCTTAAGGCAGTATATAATTTCTCCCTACAAAAATCCTTGTTAGATAAGTTGAATTGATTGAAGGTAACTGGCCCAAATAACTCAATGGGTTTCCATGGCTGAAGACAGTCTTAAAGCTGGGTCTCTCTGGGTCCTACGTAACATGCTAACCAGTACCCCATACACTGAGGCAGAACTCATAAGCTTAAATAAATATCCATTGCTTCATCTTTTCCGAGGAATCCCAGAGTATTTAATGACAAGTTTAAAAAAAATCTTGGTCGATGAAAAACGTTTGATTTGTCCCTACCACAGCAGTCAATCAGAGGAACACGGGAAATTGAGAAGATGAAAGCAGCTCACCTCAATTGCACTGGTATATTGTTCCAGCCTACTGTCTATCTTGGAGACAACTGGAGTTGTGTGAGTAGGTTTCATACCACTGTGAAAAGAATGAAATGGCAGAGACTTATCAGTTCATATCAGGGGTGGGCTTCAAAAATTTTAGCAAGGGGTTCTCTACCCGGTGGGCATGGCCTAGTCAGCCTCCTGCACCACAGCGGGGGGTGGGGGGAGGGGCTTTTTGCCCTCCCCAGGCTCTGGAGGCTTTCCTTGAGCTTCCGGGAGGGCGAAAATGGCCTCTCCAGGCTTCCCAAACTTCTGGTAGGCCCATTTTTCGGCCTCCCCGAGCCTCCGTGCGTGCCCTGCACTTACCTGCATCCAAAACGGGCCGCATGGAGACTCCTGGGAGGGGCGGGGCAGGGTGGGCAGGGCCAGCCAGGAGTGGGATTCGGGGGTTCTCCGAACTGCACAAAATCTTAGCTAGAGGTTCTCCCGAACCCCTGCGAACCCCCAGCAGCCCACCCCTGGTTCATATCCTGCACGTTAAACTTTCATTGTGACTTTTTTCTTTATGTTTGAGTTCTTTACCTCTTCTGGACGGATTTGTTCAAGAACTCTGCACGTTCTTCTATCTAAAAAAAAAAAGAGAGACAGAGAAATAAGAAAATAAAAGTGAGCTCTACAAATATTACAAAACCTGGAAGAGGTTTAAATAACGCAATGGTTTTACACAGACGCAACAAACGTATCAAGTGTGTAATACACATCACAGCAACAGCACAATGAAAGAGTCAGGGCCTACACTTACACTGAGGGTCAACTTTGGATCCTAAAATGTCACAGAGTTTTTAAGAAAAACAAAATTAACAGAGCAATAGTGTTAAGACGAAGTGGCTTTAAAAAGTTACCCCAGGACAGGAAGAAAAGCATCATCACTCCACATGCAGACTCCATACAGAAATGGAACCAGATGTTGTAAAAGAACTGAAAACATCAGCTTTGTGTTTTTTGTTTTTCTTTCCTCTAAGAATATTTAGGGGTCTAAAATGCATATCACTCCATTCTGACATCCCTCTTCCCCCAGTTTGACATCCCCTTTGGAGTTTTGGCATTTACCAGGTGACAAAACTTTATGTTAAAAAGAAGAGGAGCAGAGGTGAGCTTCACATAATTTAACAGCTGGTTCCAGCAGAATCAAATAGGTGAACATGTGCGCCTTGCACATATGCGCACTGCGTCAAAAACATGGCAATTGTATAGGATGGGATAGCTTCGCGCGTGCCTGCGCCTTGCGCACAGGCGCACGGCGTCAAAAACACGGCAGTTGTATACCGTTTTGCCTGAACCGGTCCGAACCGGCTGAATCTTGGTAGAGCCTTGGTAGTACAGTGATCTAAAGCACCCTGTTATTAAGACCAGCTGCCTGCAATTACTGCAGGTTCGAATCTCGCCAGGCTCAAGGTTGACTCAGCCTTCCATCCTTTCTAAGGTAGGTAAATTGAGGACCCAGTTTGTGGGGGCAATAAACTGACTTTGTATAAAATATACAAAAGGATGAAGGCTATTGCTTAGCGCATTGTAAGCCGCCCTGAGTCTCCGGAGAAGGGCGGCATATAAATCAAATTTAAAAAAAAAAAAATCCCACCCCTGAAGAGGAGAAAGCGATGTCAGATGTTGGTAGCACATGTCTCTCGATCCATCCAAATACATTAGATCAGGGCTGCCTCGTAGCACCCTGTATTATTGAATATGCAGATGGTTCTTGAAATTGCCTTTGATAAAAGTTACCAACAGAGTGAAACAAAAAACAAACCAACCTCAAATTACCTGAGATAAATTGAGGAAATAATTTGGCCATCCAGTTTTTAAAATGACATAATCCCAAGTATTTTGTTTTTTAAAAACCCAACCATCTAGCTTCTTGTCTAATTTTTTCACAGCTAGTTCTATCTATAATACAACCCCAAACTTATCAACTAAGTCCACCTTAGTACCCTGATTAAAAATCAATGTTGAACCATTGGATTCTATTTGAGATGTGCTGGGGAACTTGTTTAAAAGAAGACAGGAATCTATTCTAAACCACAGAGGAAAGGAATGAAAGATTTCATACACGAAATAAATTGCTTAAGGAATTGGGAAATCTTAATTGTCACAAACTGGAATGTTCATATTGAATTCTTGAATCTCTAGATTTTGTGGACTTCAACTCCCAGAATTCCTCAGCTGGAATTCTGGGAGCTGAAGTCCATAAATCTTAAATTTGGAGACCCCTAATCTAGATTGATTGTCCAGAAAGAAATTCCCTACCATCATGTTGTGCTGCTTTTCAGAGTCACCAGATGGCAGCAGAACAGAGGTAAAATTTATTTTTCCATCATCTCAACCCTGTTAGAGTTGCTTTAAAAATTACAGAGTTCCCACATTGATAACACTTGCAAGTCACCAGTCGTAACTTGTTGCTCTTATTTTTACTTATTTTTACTTTAATATACAAGCACATGCTAGAAAATGCCATGGTTAGCTACAAAGGGATTCATGGATCATGAATATAAATTTATCTGTGGATAATCTGTATGGATTTTTATAGAGAGCAGGGGTGTCAAACTCGATTTCATTGAGGGCTGCATCAGGGTTGTGTTTGACCTCGGGGGGGCGGGGGCGGAGTGGGTGTGGCCAGGGGGCGTGGCCAGCTCAATGTCACTCGTGTTGGGAGTGCCTTTGGTGGCCCAAGCATTCTGCCAGAGAAAACAGGATCCCAAACTCCATTTTCAGCTTCGATGGCTGCCTGCAACTCTCTGCCAGCTTGTGAGCTCCGTTTTTGCTGGCAGAGGCATTGCGGGCCAGTCCTTTGTTGTTTCCAGGCCGGCCCTGTGTGCCAGATCTAAGCACCCCGTGGGCTGGATCTGGCCCCCAGGCCTTGAGTTTGACACCCCTGATATAGAGGGAAGGGTGAATAATTAGGTGACAAAGTTCACTGCATCTGAAGCAGGTCCCATATATTCTGCTCTTTTTTCATGACTTGCATTTTCATTTCTGTCACTATCCAAAATCCACACTTTTCCAACACCAACAAAAGATGTTGTTTCAGAAATGTCAGGACACCAGCTACAGATTTTGCAGCTCTTGGTAGAAAAGGTTGAGTGATTCAATTTTACTTAAAGCAGACATAAACTTCCTTGTTTGGCATGTCCAAAACTAAGCAATCCATCTGATTTCTCAACCCTTGAATGCCTTAACCATGCTTTAAAAGTGTTTCAGTAATAACTATAAATGTACAGAGGTCAGCGTTTATGTGTAAGACTGAAGTGTGCTTGTTACATCACACGTTTGTTCAGAATTAGAAAGGGTCTTTAGGTAAGCACATGCTTAAATATTTGACAAGAAGGAAGTTTGTTTCAATTAAACCTGCATCTTCACTTTTACAATTCTTGAAGCCCAATCTTTTACCCGTGAAAATAGTAATACACCAAAAGTTTTTTCAGCTATAGCATTTTGGTAATGTTCTCTTTGGGAAGAGTTCTCGTTTCTATACCAGGAACAGAGCAATTTAGTTGCAGAAAATAATTATATTTATCAGGCTTGGATCTGCTTTTGCTGGCAATTTTTAGGCGGTATAGAGCAGTATAATAAATATGCTATCACATAGGTATAATATTATAATGGTTGTTTCTTTTCTGTTTGGGTAAGTGAGGCACATCTGCTAACAGGATGCATTAGAACAAAGAGGCCAGTGACTGTTTGATCAAAACCAGAATAACACTTTACACACTCTTAAACTTAAAAGTCACTACAACAGCAAGCAACCACATGCCCACAACTGAAAATTGGTAAGAAACATACGGTGAACAGAATTACAAAATATATCTGTAAAATAAGATGGAAAGCATAGCGTTAAGAAGATGCTCTTGTACTTAAATTAGGAAGCTGAACTCCAGAGTCTTTTTTTTATTATTATTATTCTGTTTTCGGAATTTGATGTTAATTCTATTCATAAAAACACTACGGTGAAATCCTATGAGGTAAAATGAATGGCAAAAGTCCATCAGTTTAATGGTTCTATAGAACATACTCCTTCACACATATGAATACACATACTCGGGTGAATATGTCACATGATTCACTGATGGAAGTGACTCATGTGACATATTCCCAAACAACTTTTCCTGCACCTATTGGTTAGGATTCATGCTGTAAATTAGATAATCAAAATAAGGAGGCCATTTTCTGTCTTTTCAGTGATTGTTCCTGCTAAAAAGAAGAAATAATCATTCCAATGCAACTCAGTCCTTGCATGGATGAGATGGCCACTGTTCCTTATCTACCTTAATTCCATTTCCAGAAAGTTGTTTGGGTTTTTGCTCAATTCATTCAGCATACAAAACGTTTTTCCCACCTGGACCAGTGCTGGGATTCAGCTGGTTTGGGCCAGTTCGGGCGAACCGGTTGTTAAATTGCTGACTGTCCCCACCCTTCCCCTCCCCTTCCAAGAGTCCCAACACGGCCCATTTTTGCTCCCAGGAGGCTGCAGAGAGGCCTACTAGGCCCGAAACAAGGCACGGAGGGGCAGTGTGCCCCCCATGGCCCGTTTTTGCTCCCAGGGGGCCACGTGTTGCTTGTCACACCCCATAGCTACACCCACAATGGCCACGTCCACCCAGCCGGTCATTAGAGAACCGGTTGTTAAATTATTTGAATCCCACCACTGACCTGGATGATCAATATTGGCACTTCCCTCACTCCCAGGATTTGTCTTAACATACAATTGTTGTGACTGAAGAAGCCCTAAGTCTAAGAACTTTGCAATGAAAATAGGACAGCAATTAATTCAGAAGATGCATCCATGTTATAACGGTGCTTGTAGGTATTGCCCTAGCAGCATATACAATGCAGAGTATTGATTTTTGTACAGCCATGAAGATAACAATTGAAATCTCTTTCACAGATAGTTGAGCAAAATGATACGGCATCAGCAGCTGGAAGGAGTATTACCTTGAAAGCAGAACCTTTTGGAGTGAAACACTTGAAGGGCTTCTTGTCATCACCTTGTGCTTCATCTGGCATCTTCTGGCGTTTCTCAGCGGCTTCTGCCCTTCTTTTCTCAATTTCTTCCTTCAGCCGCCTCTTCTCCTCCTGCCAAAAAACCCAGGAAGGAACCATTTAGTTGCCTGTTATTAGCAACTTCGGCTAAACCTTAAGATTCAAATGTGGCAATAAGGAACAGGTCCGGCTGCAATAACTGATGTTGGTATTAGCAAGATTGTGCAAATAATGAATGCAAGTCGATCTAACCCTCTGAATATGCATTGTGGCATCATACAAATGTCCTATAAGGCAGAACTTGCATACTTAGTTTTGTCACTGTGATGAAATTTTCAGATTCTGTAGACACCCACCAGCCACCATTAAGTTATGCAAAACCTGTATCATCTAAACCTACTTGTCAGGCAGTGTAGACATCTTACATGCAATGCCTGACCACAGTCGGTGTCAATTTCTATGCAGATGTGAATATGTAACAGCTGTTCTTAAATAATGTTGAAAATGTGTTCGTTTTTTTAGGTACAATCCATAGATAGCTGTTCTGTTAAATTATCAACACATCTGAATGGTTCCAGGTTGCCATGACTGCTAGTGATCATACAACAAGATGGAACAAGAGACCAATTAAATGCCCATTGTGCTAAGCCATAATATGTTTCAAATATGGTATGTTAAATTGATCAATGACCTGGTTCATTCATGATTCTAAACTCAAAACTACAGTGTTGGAATTCGCAGACTCTGGGAATAAAAATGGGTATTCCTAAAATATTGCAAAATAAGGAAGTTGCTCATTTGTGCAACAGCCTCCACCCCATCAAACTAAGGCACTGTAAGAAAGAAAATGAAAGATAATAGGGAGGCTCCACCTTAATGTAATCATTGATAAATGAGGGCCAAGTAGGCACATCCAGTTCCCAAGATTTTGTAATCTAATCCCTTGCTCATAAATCTGCTTTTGTGGTTCTCAGCTTCGGTATGGTCTTGTAGGAGTAGGAGGAAAGGGTTGGACACATGGTTTACAGCCCACGATGGAAGCATCTATGCAGTATATTAATCCAAACAAATCACACAGAATTGCTCCTTGGGACTTAGTACATTCAGTCTGCTAAGCTAAAATTGAATAAATCACTGCCAAGTGGAAACACACCACATGCTAAGCTGTAAGCCAAAAAGAGAATAGCAGATTCACATATCATCCTAAGCCAAAACCAAATTACTCTATCACTTTTGGCTTAACCCCATGGCTGCAACATGTTTATCCGTCACTGAATTAACCTGCTTTCTTTCTTTATACGGTATAGCGAACCACAGACTAACCAGAAGGTTAGATTTATACAAAAATGCTAAAACACACACATTCACAGACTCTAAAATCAACACTAGCCAAGCATAGCAGGTTGTGTGCATTTATTTTATTTATTTATACCACCGTTTTATTATTTTTATAACTCAAGGCAGCAAACATACCCAATGCAAGTAGTCCTCGACTTAAAAAGGTAAAGGTTCTCCTCGCACATATGTGCTAGTCGTTCCCCACTCTAGGGGGCGGTGCTCATCTCTGTTTCAAAGTCGAAGAGCCAGCGCTGTCCAAAGATGTCTCTGTGGTCATGTGGCCGGCATGACTCAACACCAAAGGTGCACGGAACACTGTTACCTTCCCACCAAAGGTGGTCCCTATTTTTCTACTTGCATTTTTTACGTGCTTTTGAACTGCTAGGTTGGCAGAAGCTGGGACAAGTAACGGGAGCTCACTCCGTTACGCAGTACTAGGGATTCGAACCGCTGAAGTGCCGACCTTTCAATCGACAAGCTCAGCCTCTTAGCCACTGAGCCACCGCGTCCCTTTTGTCCTCGACTTACAACAGTTCATTTAGTGACCATTCAAAGGGCAATGAAAAAAGTGACTTATGACCATTTTTCACCCTTACGACCTTTGCAGCATCCCCATGATCATGTGATAAAATTTCAGACGCTTGGCAACTGATTCATACTTATGACCGTTGTGATGTCCCAAGGTCATGTGATCACCTTTTGTGACCTTCTGACAAGCAAAGTCAATGAGAAAGCCAGATTCACTTAACAACCAGGTTACTAATTTATCCACTACGGTGATTCACTTAACAACTGTGGCAAGAAAGGTCGTAAAATGGGGTAAAACTCACTTAACGAATTTCTCACCTAACAAAAAAAAGTTTGGATTCAATTGTGGTCATAATTCGAGGACTATCTGTACCCTTCCTCCTCCTATTTTCTCCACAAACCCTTCCTGTGAGATGGGTTGAGATAGAGGGACTGGCCCAAGATCATCCAGTTAGTTTCATACATAAGGCGAGACTAGAATTTACAGTCTTGATGATTGGCCCAAAGTCACCGAGCCAACTTTCATGACTAATACAGGACTAGAATTTACAGTCTTCTGGTGATTGGCCCTGAGTTTACCCAGCTGGGTTTCATGCCTAAGGTGGGACTAGAACTTACCATCTCCTGGTTTCTAGCCTGGTGTCTTAACCGCTAGGCCTAACTGGTTCTCTGCATCTGTTAGGTGTCAACTTGCAAAGCATTCCTGACCTGCTCTTGAGTTGCCATAAGCAGGGGGATGGGGAACCGAGCCTTGCTGCAGTGAGGGAATCGCACTTCAGTCAAAACAAAATCACATTCCAGCCATCTCTATCTCAAGGCCATCTCCACGGATACCCACAGTGGCCGGAGGAACTCTACAACCCGGGAAATTTCTTTGTTGGGGAATGTGACTGATGACATACCTTGGAGGGAGGGGGGACGGGGTCAGAGCCAGGGTGTGAATTAAGTGAGGCCAGAGTTGGCTTCACTTGGAACATGCCTACATGACGCTCCTAATAAATAATTGGATTTCTTTTGAAGCTTGGCTCGAGGGTCATGATTTAATTAGGGCATGGTCTGAACCTTGACATTAGGTTTTTAACTTATCTTATTACGTGCCCTGTGCAAAGCCAGTCAAAGTATGAAATCCTTGCTCCCTTTCCGAATGCACCAACGTTGTTACCTCTTCCCGAACTTTCCTCTCCGCCTCTTCTTTCTTCCTTCTCTGTTCTTCATCTTCCAGGATCTTCCTCCGTTCTTCACGCTTCTTCTTCAGCTCCTCCAGTTCCACCGCCGCCTCTTGTTGCTTCTGCTTCAGCTTCTCAAATTCTTCGCTCTCGTTTTCACCCCGCCGACGGCGCAACTCCTCCACCCTCTTGCCAGCTTCCACCTGGGGTTTGCCGTCTTCGGATCCCGGTGTGGTTTTGAACCCTGGTCGTCTGAGAAAGGAAGAGCAACATTTTAGGAAGGAGCAGGCTGTCGGTCACCGATCAGGACCAACCCTGAAAGAAGAATTATAATCCCCGCCAGAGAACTGGGTACCACAGTGGATGGTATCCCTTCCTAAGACTCACATTGGTTTCAAGGGCTCTCCATATTTTAAAACATCCAAATCCAAATCCTCTGTTTTATACTCTATTGCTTTTTGAAATACAGGTAGTCCCCACCCATTCATGTAGTGACCATTTGAAGTTACAATAGGACCAAAAATGTGACTTATGACTGTTTTTCACATTGATGACTATTGTAGCCTTCCCACGGTTACATGATCAAAAAAGGCTTAATTATTATTATTATTATTATTATTATTATTATTATTATTATTATTATTTAATCGTTAGTGAGATTCAGCCTTTGAGGTTGGTTAGTAGCTCAGCAGCTCGAGTCCTAACCAAGGACCCAGGAACTGTTAAGGTATCGTCGGAGGATGTAAGCTGTTCCGAGTAAGGTGGTTTTTTGTAGAGTCAAAATGTTCAAGTCCAGCAAATTTAGAATTTCTAAATAGCGGGGTAGCCCTTTGGGTATTGCTCCAAGGGCTCCAATTACAATCGGGACAACACACGATTTCTTTTTCCACAGTCGCTCAACTTCAATTTGTAAGTCCCGGTACTTTGTGATTTTTTCTTGCTGCTTATCTTCAATCCGTGCATCACCAGGTATTGCAATGTCAATGAACCATACTTTGTTCTTTTCTTTTCAACTATTGTTATGTCAGGTGTGTTGTGGACCAAGTACCTGTCAGTCTGAATCCTAAAGTCCCACAAGATCTTGAGTTTCTCATTCTCTAAAACTTTCTCAACCTGATGTTCCCAGTGGTTTTTGCTGTACTCAAATCCAAACTTCTGGCACAATTTCCAGTGAATGATCTTAGCAACACGGTCATGGCGTTGTAGGTAGTCAGTTTGTGAAATTTTGCTGCACCCATTGATCAGGTGGTCTATTATTATTATTATTATTATTATTATTATTATTATTATTATTATTATTTACTTTATTCATTAAACATGAAACTCAGTCAATTGAACATTCAAAAATGCATCACAATACCATTGATTGGTGCTAATGGCTGATACGGGTTGCTGCCAGCGTCCTAGGTATCAACCAAGTACCTTCTTAAGATGTACACTGTTCCGAGTAGCGCAGTTTTCTGCAGTTCCGCTGGTGTTATTGCAGGAAGCTGCAATTTCTTGATGTGTTTTGTAAAATTCTTGGACATGGTACCAAGTGCCCCGATGACAATGGGTATCACTGTTGTTGTTGTTGTTGTTGTTATCTCTTTTTTCATTAAACATGAAACTCAGTCAACTGGACATTTAAAATGTGTCACAAATACCATTGACTGGTGCTAATGGCTGATACGGGTTGCTGCCAGCATCCTAGGTATCAACCAAGTAGCATCTTAAAATATACAATGTTTCGAGTAGTGCATTTTTTGCAGTTCCGCTGGTGTTATTGCAGGAAGCTGCAATTTCTTGATGTGTTTTGTAAAATTCTTGGACACGGTACCAAGTGCCCCGATGACAATGGGTATCATTATACCCAATAATTAATATTATCATTATCATCATCATCATCATTATTATCAGCAGCAGCAGCAACAGCAGCATTATCATCAGCATCACTTGAAATACATCTATAAACCATTTGTCCAGGGTAGTATAAGGACTCCTGCTTTTGGGCAGGGAGCTGGATTAGACGATCTCAAACATCCCTTCTAGCCCTATGTTTCTATGGTTCTACTGAAGAATTACGGCCTTGTTGAAGTTACGGATTGTGGTCAGCTGTGCTGATACAGTGCATGCTTATGATAGATAGATAGATAGATAGATAGATAGATAGATAGATAGATAGATGATAGATAATAAATAGATAGATAGATAGATAGATAGATAGATAGGTAGGTTAGGTAGGTAGGTAGGTAGGTAGGTAGGTAGGTAGGTAGGTAGGTAGGTAGGTATAGACAGACAGACAGACAGACAGACTGACTGACTGACTGACAGACTTTCCCGATGGGTATAAATATCAACTGAATAATATTAACCTTTGCAAGATTAAGCAAGGGCCATTTACAAGACTAGGGAAGGCTGATTTATGTTCCCTGACAAGCTAAAGCAAGATACGCTTTCCAGGTGATGCAAAAAAAGTCATTCCTGGCCTTTGTATGGCGGTCTAGCCTGTTGCAATAAGACCCATAAAAGGCAACAATCAGGTCCAAGTGTAAACGTCCTTGCCCCAGAGTGTATATCTTACCCAAAAGCATGCTCTGTGTGCTTCAGCTTGTGAGCAGGGAGTTCTTGGATGCATTCCCCGTTTTGTGGCTTGGAATCTGGAATTCCCTTCTTGCGATCCCAGATGGACTTTGCCTCTTCTTTGGGCATTTTGTCTCTGTTCAGTTTGTTATCTTTCATCTAATAAGGAGACATGGTTGTTAAAAAAAAAAGAATGAGTTACATCCAAAATTCTGAAGGAGCCATTTAGAGGCATCCATCTCCACTGTGAATGGGAAGATAAAAGAACTATTAATCTACTGCAAATGTAAGGTCTTGTAGCTTCAGCTTTGCTCTGTACAAAAAGCCCTGAATTGGAAAAGATTTTACACATGCAAACAAGCTTAAAATAATACTTGCTTCCATTGTTATTGGATCCCCAGTCAACTGTGGCTCATCTATACAGCGAGGATTCCAAGGAACCACGTGATATCTCGGCTAAGTAAGCAGTCATCGAAAGCATTAAATTGTCTACAAGTTTATGTCCAGATTTTTGGGTAGGGGAGAAAATTTTTATCACCGGCCTTGCATCTTATACACATTCACCCAAGTTGCTTACAAGTTCCTTACAGTCAAAAAGAAGCTGGAAGAAGCACTTTCTCTCGCCCCTAACTAGATGTCCTACAGTCTGTGTAACATCTGGCTCTGACTCCCTGGGTTGGATGTGCATACGGTATGCTTCCTTGTTCCCATCCAACTGAGTCACAAAGTCCCTTTGTCTATGAAGTAGGAATCAATTTATTTGGAATATTATCACGGTATTTGTAAACAGTGCTGCCAAGGGCAGCCAAAAGATGCATTACAATGTTTACAATTATTTTAAATAGACGTGATGTAATTAATCTCAAAGATAAGCCAAGTGGGGAATTATCCTCCCAATTTGGATCTGGAGATGTAGCAAGTTTTGTGCACCGTTTGTCTTGGCTTCCCCACCTCCCCTAGCCAGAAACATTCTCGGATTAGTGCCTTTTGGAGCTGCTCTTGACCATCTGACTATCAAGCATGCTGAGACATGCCTTGATGCTAATTGGAGCTGTGTGCAGAATGCAGCGTTCCAGAAAACTTGTTCTGGTCTGCAGGAGACATTAATCTCATGAAGGACATCAGCTAAAGCAGCGGCCAAGGCAAATCGGAAATAGCAATGAACAACTGTGTAAAATGCTCTTCCCTGACTAAATTGATCCTGATCCAGATGGTGAGGAGGCTCACTGATATCAATCTAAATCAAATTTAATGAGACAAATCTCATTGATTTCAGAAGGAAGGCTCAGGAAATCCGAATTTGCTTCACAGTGGCTTATCCTGCTTTCGGTATTGCTGTTTTTGGAAAACAGCATTTCTGGAGTTCATCAGATTTTTTTTTTTAAGTCTAAAGCAGGCTCAGTCCGGTTCCACTAACTTCTATATTACCCATCAGGATGATTCAAACATGTAATATCTCTAGAAAACACCAGCATGACAGTTGCTCTAGGGGGCGCTATTTCTTTTCCTTTTCTTTTTCCTAATAACCAGGCAGAAAGATGTTTATGAAGATTCTCAGTCATCCATGTCATGGTTGTCCCAAAGGTGCTTTTTCAAGAGGCAGCTGGACTTTCTTGTTTTTTCTTTGAAGATGTTTCACATCTCATGCTAGACGCCTCTTCAGCTTCCCCACCATCCAGCGAGAGCTGAAGAAGCTTCTTGGATGAGAAGCGAAATGTCTTCAAAGATAGCAATAGCACTTAAGACTTATATACCGCTTCATAGTGCTTTTACAGCCCTCTCTAAGCCGTTTACAGAGTCAGCCTATTGCCCCCAACAATCTGGGTCCTCATTTTACCCACCTCGGAAGGATGGAAGGCTGAGTCAACCTTGAGCCTGCTGAGATTTGAACTGCTGAACTGCAGCTAGCAGTCAGCTGAAGTAGCCTGCAGTACTGCACTCTAACCACTGCGCCACCACCAGGGGTGAAATCTACTTACCTTCCCTACCGGTTCGGAAGTCACATGTGCGCTTGGACCCTCTGTACATGCATGAATACTTCTGCACATGCGCAGAGGGTAAAAAACAGATTACTTCCTGGTTAAAACCAGGAAGTAAAGATGACCAGGCGGGTGGGCGGAGCCTCGCGCCACCATCGCTACTGGTTCTCCGAACCACCCGCCGCCATCGCTACCGGTTCAACCGAACCGGTCCTAACCGGTAGCATTTCACCCCTGGCCCCCACTCTTTTAAACCAGAAAGTCCAATTGCCTCTTGAAAAAGCACCTTTGGGACATTCAAGGCAGAAAAGCAAACACACGATGTGTCAGCCTTACCAGGTAAGCCAGACAGGAGATCAGATGAGCTAAATCTACTTTATTATAAACCTTGCAAGTCTGATATTACATTTCTCCTTCTGTCTCCTTTACATCCCAAGAAATTAGGGAGGGTCTCCACTGAGCCTCTTGTCACATTCACATTCCTGCTGTGGGCTCAGCTGCCTTTGATCTGACCATTCCCTTGGATAGTCTTATTGCCCTGTCTCCCAAGGTCATACCTACACACTATTCCAGCATAAAAAGCCTGAGCTAAAAGAATCCACAACCCTGGAATCAATCCTGAAAAAAAAAAAAAAAAAAAGAACTTGGTATCTTTTCCGTAAGGGCAAGGAAGTACTTTGGAAAAGTGATATTTACATGAATGAATTGAAATTGCTTCTTGCAGAAGGAGAATGGTTTAGTCAGTCTATGTTTTCCGCCTTTCAGATCCCTTTTACATGGAGAAAAGACTGGGAGAAATTCAAAATCTATTCCTCACCGTACTAGATATGGCATTTCTGAAACAAGCCTAGATCTGCCAAGCAAAGAGTCCTGGGTTTGTTCCAAATTCCTGGGGGAAATTACCGTATTTTTCAGAGTATAAGATGCACCGGACTATAAGACGCACCTACATTTTTTGGTGAGGAAAACAAAAAAAAGAAATCTGCCTCTGCCTCCCAGCAATTTTGCCTCCTTGCAGCAAACAGCAAATAACCTGCTTTACTTTCATTTTCGCTTTCAGCATAGTTTGATTAGCACAAGGAAAAAAAAAATCTGCTCCAGCAATTTACCTCCTTGCAGCAAGCAGCAGAGGCCCACGCAAAACAGCTGAGAGCAAAACAGCGGAGAGTCGGGAGGCCGATCCAATCAACTTGTGCTAATTAGGCTATGCTGAAGCTGAAAGGAGCGTCTTCTTGCTGTTTGCTGCAAGGAGGTAACTGCTGGGAGGCAGAGGCCAAAGGGTGGGGGCCAGTGGGAGGGCAGGGTTACATTCGATGTATAAGACGCACCTAAATTTTCACCCCCTTTTAGGGGGGAAAAGGGTGCGTCTTATACTCCAAAAAATACGGTATGATATCAACCTGAATTGGAGAGAGGATGACAGATCCCTCTTTCCATTCTAATATCGATATTAATTTTTGTTTTTAACATGCACATTTAAATAACATACTTCCTTTATGAAATTAAAGATGCCCAGATGTTTTTTTAGTAATCTACAGGTCATTTAAATATGCTTGATTAATGCGGTGTTGACTGTCTAAAATGCAGGGAGTTAATAAACAATGAACTTTTTACACATTTGGCTAACACTTTATTTATTGCTCCCAACATGTTATTTTAGATATTTAATGCTTCCCTGGAAATTCCAAATCAGAGATCTGAATTTAAGATTTAATTCAGGTTGTGAGCATCTGAGCAGAATGATTAGGCTAACCCGCTTATCTTCTTATGAACAGAAGTGCATTAAAAGGGAGGGAGGGAAACACTGCAAGCCAGCAAGAAAAGGGAGAAAAAAATGCTGTTCATGTAGCATGTCTAGCCAAACTGGAAGCAGGAAATACCACAACTATCATGTCATGAGAAAGCTTGCTTCAGGACAAACTTTGCAGTCCAGCTCTGCACACCCAAGGTCTTAAGGCAGTCCAGAAAACAGAACAAATTCTCCGGATGTAAAACAAACTCAAAACAGACCAGGGAAAAGCAGCTTCACATGAAATTTCATTTTATAGTCTGGCCATTTTCAGTATTTCCAGGATGACTGACTTACAGCTAAGATGTTGCTGGCTGCTGACAGTGGGGAGACACCGTCGTTTAAACCTTGGTATCAAGTCAGAATATACTGTAAATCGGGGTGAAATGCTCCTGGTTCTGACCGGATCACCCGATCCGGTAGCGATGGTGGCGGGTGGTTCGGAGAACCGGTAGCAAAAATCCCTGCGCCCCCCTCTCCCCATGCCCAGCTGAGCCGCACGATCATCAGAGGCTTTTTTTTTTTTTACTTTTAAAAGCATTTTTTCTACAACCTCTTCCGACGAAAAAATGCTTTTAAAAGTAAAAAAAAAAGCCTCTGATGATCCTGCGGCTCAGCTGGGATCATCAGAGGTTTTTCAAAACATTGTTTTCTTCAACCTCTTGGCTGAAGAGGTGGTAAAAAAAAATGCTTTGAAAAGTCTCTGACGATCCCAGCTGAGTTGCCTGATCGGCAGAGAGGTATTTTAAAAAAAATACCTCTCTGCCGATCAGGCAACTCAGCTGGGATCGTCAGAGAGGCTTTTTAACAAAAATACCTCTCTGCCGATCAGGCAACTCAGCTGGGATCGTCAGAGAGGTACTTTTTAAAAAGCCTCTCTGACAATCCCAGCTGAGTTGCCTGGTCTGCAGAGGCTTTTCAAAGCATTAGAAAAAATGCTTTGAAAAGTTAAAAAAAAAAAAAAGTTGGCCACGCCCACCCAGTCACATTACCCCCCCCCCATCAAGCCACACCCCCAGAACCGGTAGTAACAAATTTTACATTTCACCCCTGCTGTAAATTGGTTTGTTCCAAAGGAATGTTTATGAGACTGAACATCTTGGTTACTTACTCCCAGGGGTGAAATGCTCCCGGATCGGACCGGATTGGCTGATCCGATAGCGATTTTTCCCTATGGTTCGGCGATCCAGTAGCAATTGCTGCCCGGGTGTCATTATTTCCTGGTTTTAACCACGCGGCGCATGCACTTCTGAATCGGTAAGGAAAGTAAGTAAATTTCACCCCTGCTTACTCCGTGTCATTTAGGGAAAGGTGCAGCTGAGGAATGGAGAAAACTGCAAGTGGAAGAGCTTAACTTCATGTGATGCTGAAGGTGGCTTTCAACTCATTGAAACTTTGCTCTTGCCAAACCAAGGGCTGTCTACATTACGGACTGAGAACAGCCCCCCAGATACTCTTCTGCAACAGGCTGTTTTCTTCCCTTCCACCCCTCTCTTTTTTCAACTAGAAATATCAAGAATGAGACCTGGAAATTTCTGCGTGGAAAACATCCTCTCTACCATTGAGATATAACTCCTTGCTATTCCTGGAGTCTCCCATTAACCAAAGCTCACTATTGCTAAGAATGGTATTTTCCTGTTATATGTCTAAGAGTAATATCCATAAAGTCTACCTAGGGCTATTGTCAGTGGAATCCCATATCAGAGAGACCAGTTTTATTTCAGCCTCCTCCAAATGGAGCTTCTAAATCTGGAGACTCCAACCCTCACATATTTGGAGGTATCTTCCAGCTTCTCCATGATTGATTTCCTTCTTTGTGATTCCCTCTTTCCTTCCATAGCTAAATAGAAACCTTGAGCCTTCTCTGTAGAGGAACACAGAGGTGGCTTTGAGGCAGATGTGCAGCAAAACATGAGCTCAATCCAAGAAAACCCAGAAAGCCTGAGAAAGAAACATCATGTGGTGTGCTGGGATATAGTCTAGATTCCAAAGGACCAAGAGACAGCAAAGTTTAGATTGTTCAACTGGGAGAAAGAACATCAAGATAACTCCTCCCTAAAAGTTCCCGGAGGATATCTTTAATGATGCAAGTAGTTCAGCAAGATTTCTATCTATAGGTCAGGAACAATAAAAGAACCTACTCAGAAATAACCCTACATTTCTTTCTTGGTTTTTGAAGCTTTACATATTACCCTGCATTGACTCTTTTGGTATAAAAGGGAGGGATGGGAAAATACGTCTATTATTGTAGTTCAAAATTCTTCCATATATTGGAGTTAGATCACTACAGAGAAAACCTTCTAGGTAATTCCAATAAAATGCTTTTCCCAAGAATTTTGCTTAATGCTAATTTTCTTTTCTTTCTTCTCCAAATTAGTTTGTCCTAGGGTTTTGGTGTCTTTTAATCTTCATTATGTTTTAACAGATTTATCTCCTATTTTATTCCTTTACTTGTTTTAAGCCCATTCTTATTGTATTTCATTTTGCTTGAATGGTTCCCCCTCCCCCTCAATATTGGCTTTGTTTTTCTACAGTAATATGTTGGTTGTGGCTTTTCTATTCTGCACTGCATTACAGCTTCATGTTTGAGTTGCATAATGGGATAAAATTTCTCCTACAGGCATTTTATAAATGCAGACATTAAACAAATGATCCATTTAAAATTATTATAATTCCCTTAACAGACTGATTTAGTAATGTTATTTCATGGATGGCAAGTAAGCGATAAAACATTCAAAAGTGGCTAACCTAAGAGTACATTTTGGTATCTGCAGTATCCTACCTGAAGATGATTAAGAATGATGGTTTGATACCAATAATTTTACTCACCATACAGTAAAACACCACGGCACCAGCTTCTGAGTTTAAGTAGAAATGCAATGCACCACTTTTTGTAAACCAAGGGGAGGAGGGAGTCAAAAGAAGAAAGGAGATTTTGGAGAGTGCATAATTTATATTAAGAAACAGAATCATTGAAATTGGAATTTTTAGATATTATAAAATAAAATAAAAACTTATTACAAAAAAAAGGGAAAAAAGAAACAGAATAATTGGGTTAAATTCAGATTACAGAACTAAAGGTATCTTGAGACATCTATAATCTAAACCATCAGTTCCATCAAGAAAAGCCATGAAGTGGAGGGAGAAATTAAGGCAAGAAGGCTTAACTGGAGGGCACTCAGGAATTCCACACAAATCTAGGCCCAATTCCTATGGCCCATGTTGTGTTCTCAGATGTGATCTTAGCTCAGGTAAACTTAAAACACTCCTCTGCTGTTCATCTTACACCAAAGAAGCAAGTTAAATATTCAGCTCGCACAGTACAATATAAAACCAAGTGAAATAAACTGAAGCATGCTTCATCATACGGCCAGTTTTGAAAAGCTCTTGTCTGTTTTTTGGCCAACATCTTGAGACAGCCTTCAAGATGGCTGCTGGGGAAAATGTGAACTTGAATCAGGTTGCTCCTAAACTTGAAATCGGATTAAATGACCTTTGACTTTTGCTATGGGACTCTCATGATGAACAGAGGCAATGTGGGGTTTGAGTCTACTTCCCACATGCCCCACTCTACCCACAAGTGATAGTTACCTCCTCTTTCCTGAAGGCTGGCTGAAGCTTCTTGTCCTGTAGGTTTCCTTTTTTAGCTTCCACTTTATTTTCTTCCCCCTTTTGCAATATTTTTCAAGAGGAAAACATCAATCCCATTGCAAGCCCTATTAACAGCTGCTACTACCGTAGCTTTACAAAGCTGTGCTCATACAACCTCGCATCTGCTGCTGTGCACGCCATTCCCCTTGGGTGCCACAGTGACTTTCCTTTGTGCATTGGCACCCTCTCCTCTGCTGTGGTGTGCTCGTGTTCTCACATATCTCAGCAGGGTCCCGGCTGTGCTTGCTTCTAATACTTGTGGATACTTATTCAACACTCCTACCACCAAGGTTTCCCAGGTGCTCATCCATGGCTCATGCTGTGCTTCTGGACCTGGTGTAGGCCTTTGGCTACCTTCCTTGTCCAACCATCAGCCACAGAAAGGGAAGACAAAGAAGCTGTGAAGAATTGAGCATGCATAGATTTCCAGAAGATTCAAGCGACTAGAAGAGAGCAGCTTAACCGTCATGCAACTGTCATGCTACGGAGACGTGAAGCTAGAAGCTTAAATCCAAAAAGGAATAAAACACTGGCAAGAGTTAGTAGCCCAAAGTGGAAGGAGATAACTGAACCAATTCCAGTTTCTCTTTCTCTTTTTTTTTTCTGGTGAAGTGCATTACATTTTCTACAAAACACAGGCAAAACAGTGGTTGGGTGCAAAATGTTTACTCTACCTGTTTCCTGAGGGAAGCTGCTGTGATTTTCTCCTCTTGGAGTTTCTTCTCTTTTACCTGCTTCTCTTCTATTTTCTTTTCGTCCCCTTTCTTGCCTTTTGGCTGATCTACCTTTTTCTCCTCGGCCTTTTGCTTGGCCTTTAACTTCTCCTCTTCTAGCTTAGCCTTAGCCTCAGCTTTGGCCCTCTCATCTGCCTCCCTCTTTTCCTTCTCCTTAGCCCTCTCCCGTTCCTCGGCTGCTTTTTTCTCTTCGGCTGCCTTCCTCCTCTCCCTCTCCTCAGCCTCACGCCTCTCTTTCTCCTGGGCAGCCTTTTTCTTCTCTGCCTCTGCCTCTTCCTTCTCCTTCCTCTTTCTTTCCTCCTCAGCCTTCCGCTGTTCTTCTGCCTTCGCCCTCTCCCGCTCTTCTGCCTCAAGCCTTGTTTTCTCCTCAGCTTCCCTTTTTGCTTTCTCCTCAGCTTCCCTCTTCGCTTTCTCCTCAGCTTCTCTTTTCTCAGCTTCCAATCTCTCTTTTTCTTCCTCTGCTCTCCTCTGTTCCTCAGCTTCGGCTCTCTCCCTTTCCTCCCGCTCAAGCCTTTCCCTCTCCTCAATTTGTATCTGGTTCATTTCTGCCTCATTGTCTTCCTCCTTATTTTGTATGACTACTGTGATGCTGAGGTTCTCCTTTGAACTGGCAAGGACATGGGTGTCATTGTCTAATTTGTCCTCCTCTGCATTTACCTCAAGATGCTTTCCCTCCAAGACTGCAGATTCCTCCTCATTGTCTATATTCTCCTTCTCTACAGTTAGTTCTACCTGATTCTCCTCTAGGGCTTGTGGCTTTGGTTTCTGGTCTTCCACCTCTTCTTTGTCTTCCTCATCTTTCTTTCCATCTTCCTCATCCTGCTCCAAGTTGTTCCTCTGGTATGATTTAGTGATGGTTTCTGTTTCCTCCATCTCATAGTGTCTTCTGTGGGTTTCTACCTTTTCTTCTTTTCCTGGAGTCTCATTTTCCTCCACATTATTCACCACTTTTTTGCTTGTGAAGGACACGGTCTCATCGGTAATGGTCGGGTCAAGTTCCTTTTGGCGTTCCAGTGCTTCTTGAAGACGCTTTTGACGTCTTTCCTCTCTCCGTGCCATCCTCTCCAGGAACACAGCATCATCGTCTCCATCACCTTGAGTAGTCATAACAGTGGTCACTGTAGTAGTAGTTTTGGACTCTCCTTCTGCAATGCTACAAGAGATGCAGAGTTTTAGTTTTATTGATTTATCTGTTGCTCTTACTTTTTATGTTACCTCCTGAAGTAAAATGGGGATTGTTTAAATTGGGGGTCTCCAACCTTGGCAACTTTAAGGCTTGTGGACTTCAATTCTCAGAGTTCCCAGAGTTCCTCAGCCAGCAAAGAGGAACTCTGGGAGTTGAAGTCCACAAGTCTTAAAGTTGCCAAAGTTGGAGACCCCTGGTTTAAAATTGCCTTCTTCCCTCCCCATGTTATCATCATAGACAGGTTTGATTAAGAGTTAGTGAACTTCATGATGATTTGGGATTTGAAGCAACCCTAATCAGAAAGCTAACAGTTGAGTCTAACCATTACACACAAAGACACAAACTTGCCAAGTTCATACACACAAACCCAGGTTGTTTATTTTGACTGTCAAAGACCCTCCAGGGTATCACACTGGGTTTTATATCATATTGTTTTTAATGTCCTGTAATTTGAAAATGCCAAAAATCTCTACTCATTTGTGCTTCCAATCAGGACCTCCAAAATGTTGAGACTCATACAAGTCTCTAAGGGTAGAACATGAAAAGGGGCTTTTTGATGCAAAACCACCTTCTGTTCTGTTTTTTTAAGGCTTTTAATTTTTAAGTTGCTGAATCAGTGATGGGATTCAAAAATGTTTACTACCGGTTCTATGGGCGCGGCTTGGTGGGCATGGCATGGTTTGGTGGGCATGGCTGGTGAGCATGACAAGGGAAGGATAATGTAAAATCCCCATTTCCTCCCAACTCCGGGGGAAGGATACAGCAAAATCCCCATTTCCTCCTGATCAGCTGGTACTCAGGAGGCAGAGAATAGATGGGGGAGAAGCCAGTCACAGGTGGTATTTACCGGTTCTCCGAACTACTCAAAATTTCTGCTACTGGTTCTCCAGAACTGGTCAGAACCTGCTGAATACCACCTCTGAGCTGAATGGAGGATATCTGGTAAAAAATGTGATCATAGAATCAATTCCCTAGAACAGAGATGGCTAACCTTTTTGCCATTGCGTGCCAAAAGTGGGGGGAGCACGGGGGGGGGGGGGGGCATGCGCGTGCATGCCCACCCCCATAATTCTATGCACCCCGCCCCCACACCTGTGTGCACGACCCCCCCTGCACTTCCCCCACTTTTGGCACAGTGGGTCCGGTAGGCCCATTTTTCGCCCTACCCAGGCTCCAGAGCCTTTCTAGGAGCCTGGGGAGGGCGAAAACTGCCTTCCCGCCATCCCGCAGGCTCTCCGGAGGCTGGAAACGGCCTGTATGCTGACTTCCAGGGGCCCAAAAGGCCCGAAAATCAGATGGCCGGCACGCACATGTGCGCCGGAGCTGAGCTCGTGTGCCTACCGATATGGTTCCACGTGCCACCTGTGGCACGCGTGCCATAGGTTCACCATCACGGCCCTAGAACATGGGGAAACCAGACTGCCCTTTTAATAATAGAAATGCATAGATGATAGATCAGAGATATCAAACTCAAGGCCCACGGGCTGTATTCAGCCTATGGGGTGCTCAGATCTCGCCCGCTGCTCCGGCCTGGAAACAACAAAGGACCAGCCTGCACGCAGCCCCCTGGCCTCCGTTCTTGCTGGCAGAGGGCTATCAGAGCAAACTAAAAACAAAATAAAAGGAAAAATGTTTCCCCTTTTGCATTTAAGCATGCAAGAAGGGACAGGAAAGGCGAAAGGGAAAGAGGAACGAGAAAGAAGAAGAAGGGAAGTTGGGAAGAGAAGAAGGAAGGAAAAAGAAGGAAAGAGGAGAAGGAAAAAGAAAGGGGAAGGGAGAAGGAAGGAAAAAGAAGGGAAGGAAGGAAGGAAGGAAGGAAGGAAGGAAGGAAGGAAGGAAGGAAGATTATAATGAGAGTAAGGAGGATCTGAGGGAAGTCCTGCATTAGTACTTGGCCACCATAGGTGCCCCAACACAAGTCCCGTGTCACGGCCACCATAGTCCTGCCCACCCCTCCAGCCGCACCCACTATGGCCATGCCCATCCCCCGGTCCTCCGAAGTAAAACACAACCCTGATGCGGCCCTTAATGAAATCGAGTTTGACACTCCTGTGATAGATAGATAGATAGATAGATAGATAGATAGATAGATAGATAGAGAGAGAGAGAGAGTGAGTTGCTAGAAAGAGAGAAAGAGTGACAGAAATAGATAGGAAGTAGGTAGGTGAGTAGGTAAGTAAGTATATAGTGATGGAGATGGAGACAGAGATATATTCTCTCCTAACCAGGAAAGTGAGTCTGTAAAGCTGCACCAGGAACTTCCTTCCACTTTAGAGGAAAGATGATATAGATCGAAAAATGTATTGAAGGACAGGAGCAACTAAATTGTTTAGCTCCTCTTCCCTGATTAAATCCCCTTGCAAAGCAGGCCTGGCCTAGAATGAAACTCCACCAAAACTATTCATGTAACAGAATCTTACTTATTTTGGGCATTCGTTTCAGGTTTCACAATTCCTAAGTCGTCCTCTTCTCTTTGCCGCAGTCTTTCTTGACGGGCTCGTCTGCGTCGCTCTCGGGCAGCTTCTTCCTCATCATCATCATTTCTTTGATAGGATAATCTGCAAAACACAGTTTCAAAAAAGCTAGATCCTCTATTCAGAACACCACCATAATACCTACGGTGATTAAAAGAGCACGAATATATTTGCCGAAATACTCTACATTCATGTCATACTACTCTGAGCATACTACATTTGTTCAGCACCATCAAAATGTAATATCTTTTAAACAAGGTAATCGATAAAAATGTTTCTGCACTCCATGATTAGATGGAAGAAGCCCCTAGCAAGAGGGAAAGGTATAATTAAGGTTAGTTTCTACTGGTGACTAAGATTTAAAGTGTGAAACCAAGACACCACAAGGAGATGGTGCTACAAAGAGAATAGAGTAGAGTATAGAATACTTTATTTGTTCAAGTGTGGTTAGAAACACAAGGGATTTGTCTCCTTCTTCATGTGGTCCAAAGTTTCAAGTTCTTCTGTAGTCCAAAGTGCCTAGGTATCAGAGGTGGTATTCAGCCGGTTCTAGCAAACCGGTGGCGGTGACCTGCCGGTGGGCCCGACCACCTGCCCAGACGTAATGCCATCTGATTTAGCCATGTTTTCGAGGCCGGGCGCATGCGTGGAAGGCGCGCTCATGAGCAAAGCACATGCTCGGAAGGCCGGGCATGTGCATAGAAGGCAAGGTGGTCTTCCGGGTGCGATTCAAGGTGTTAGTTATCACCTTTAAAGCGCTCCATGGCTTAGGAACTGGGTACCTACGAGACCGTCTTTTGCCACCAATAGCCTCCCACCGACCAGTTCGTTCTCACAGGGAGGGACTACTCAGGGTACCGTCAGTCAAATTATGTCGACTGGCGACTCCCAGGGGGAGGGCCTTCTCTGTGAGGGCTCCAACCCTTTGGAATGAACTGCCCCCGGAGATACGGAATATCCCTGATCTCCGTGCTTTCCGCCGTGCCCTCAAGACCCTGATGTTCCAACAGGCGGGGCTAAACATACGAACATGTGAATGATTTTTTAAATGTTATCTAATTCTGGGTTTTATTTGATTGACCAAACTAAGTAATAATTTTAATTAGCAATTTTATGATGTTTGTGTGTCTATATTTTTCTTGACTGTACACCGCCTTGAGTCCTACGGGAGAAAGGCGGTATAGAAATATAATAAATAAATAAATAATAAATAAATGTGCAAAGCGAGCATGCGTGAGTGCAGCAAACTGGTGGTAAGAATATGTGAAACCAACCACTGCTAGGTATGTCTTCTGACAACTTTCTGTTGTGTTGGAAACAGCGCTTTAGAATTAGCTTTTCTGAACCTGGAGATGTGGTGGGTTTCCACACATCATATCCAGTGCTAGTTGGAAAGGAGCTGCAGGCAAACACTTCTGGACAACATCAGGTTGGCTAAGGTTATCTTAGAAGGAAGATGAAAATGAAAGCAGAGACTTTCTCAGAAGAACTGAATTTCTGAACTGTGGGTTAATGAGTACCTAAACTATGTAATCTCCAACTGAGCTGTTGGGCGAAACTTTGTTTAACATGCCAAAGCTAGGACAGAAGCTTTTACTTTCGGATTAAACTAGACTTTAGGTCACTTTAAACTTTCCATAGCAACAGGGATTGTTGCAGCTACCCAGGTGTACAAGGATTTTATTTTAGGAAACACAAAAGTCAGAGAGACAGAAAAATCATGGAACTAAAATAATCAAAGGTCACTGAGCAAATCCTATAAAGATGTCAGTCTACTAAACTATTAAAAATATGCCTACATACAGCTGGCACAATCATTGCAAAAATAATCCACAACACGGCCCTAAAACTGAAAAACTTGGGAAGCAAGAAGTAGCATCCTTACTGCCTGAATTCACGTAACACACTAAATCCCAAACCTGGGTTAACAGATCATAATAGAGAATGGCACTTACCATGCTATGCCCAAACCTGAAAACTATATTGCATCTGAATAAGATGCCCTGCTTTATACACTCAGTTAAGACAGTGTCTGGCTTCCTGCAGAATGCTAAACCCCAACTGCCCATTTCAGTCCAAGTTAACACGTTGTTACCAGACAAGCTCTATCGTTTATTCCCCTAATGAGATTGACAGGAGTATGTGACATGCCTGGAAGGATCTTGCAGGCCATGAGAACTGTGGCTTGCATCCACTCTCAAATGCCTCCAAGTGCTATCCAATACATTACGACTAATTACCATGACGGGCAGGCTGCATTATGGTCGTATGTGCAGGTCGTACATGCCCCCTCTCCAAGTTCAGCAGAAAAGGGAATAAATAAAATACACAAAAACTGTTTGCTTATTCTAGTGCAGTGTTTCCCTGCAACTTTTAAGCTATGTAATCTTCAATTCCCAGAATTCTCCAGCTTAGCATGCTGGCTGGAGAATTATATGGGAGTAGAAATCACGACATCTGAGGTTGAGAAACACTGTTCTAGCACACGATAACCTCCCACACTTCATTTGTGGCCCACCTGCCAATATACCTGGCCAGTAGAGGATCATGTTCTAGCAAAGTTTTTTTTTTTAAATCAAGTTTTTTAATTTATATATAAATATTTTGAAGACAGTGTAATGTCCGGGTATTTCATTTTACAAAAGAAGGAAAAAATAACAGATCTACTGATAGTAATAATGATTATACATGTAATAATTACAGCCATATTTATAATTGTATTAGTTTATTTATATTCATATTAATTGTACTGGCATACTTATAATTATAAACAACATTCATATTTTACTTGCATATAACAATAATCTTTCTTCATATACTTTCTACCTCTTATCTCTAACCATTGATAAAACTTATTCCACCTTGAATAATACTCTGTATCTCCTTTATCTTTTATTTTCATTGTCAATGTCAATCTATCCATCTCTGCAAAGTTCTTAAGAATCAGGATACAAACTTTCCTAATCCTAGGTTGCCTGAGTTTCTTCATTTTTCTCCACCCTTCTTCTATGGAATTTTCCCTCTTTTCACAGAAAAAAAAAAGAGCAAAATAAAAGTAATGGAAAACACTCATATAAAAGGTCCACATTCATTGTCCTTTTCTTCCTCAGTGTCGAAAATAAGCAGGGTCCTTCCCCATAATGCATTTTCATTCATTCCACATTAAACTAACTATTTCTCTCTTCGGCTTCAGATCAAACTTCTTTCCTGGTTTAATCCCTGCTTCCAATACTGGGAAAACAGTTCTAGAAACAGAACACGCCAGCTTATCTGATGTTCTTGTTACGGCCTGTAAAATATTCAGCTGCAAGTAAAATTTGGTGGGATGAGTGACTGTTCTCCCTTTATCTCACCTCGCTCAAAATATTTACGGCATGTTTACCCGGCTTTTATTGTTGCTTTGGAATTTGTATTAACGGAATGATAATTGCAAATAATTTAAAGAGTATTCTTCTCTAATTTTGCATCTAAGCACTTACAAATTAAGGATTGTATTCATTTGTTCTTGTATCAGCTTGCTTGAACCTTACTTTCCATCCCATTTATCTGGATTAATCTTTAGTGCTAAGAGGCTAATTCTCCAACTTTGGAAAGATAATTTTATGGTTCCAATTATTCAGCATAAACGGTTTGCAGGTTGCATAGGTACGATTACAATGAAATATAGCCAGCCTTCAATGGAACTGTTGGGTAACAATTTCATGCATGAAAACTCTTAATACATAAAATTTTGCTGTTGTGTTGCTCCCTTTTTTGCCTTTTATTTCTTTTTGCTGTTATATTTTTTTCTTTTTTTTTCTGTTTCATTAGATAAATAAAAACACCTCTTCCTCTCTCTGAGAGGGAACATGGCTGTTGAAGTAGCTGTTCCTGTTCAATATCTTGCCACAGTGTACAAAGCAGATGTTCATTCAACAATGTGTTTCCCTAATAACCATATGCAAGTTGTTTCTTTTCTGCCTCAAATCCCCCATTGGCAAAATGTGGATTGCAACACTGACCTTGAATTTGGACTCCTACACTGAACAGGGATTGGGATGGTGGCCTCTGCGGCCCATCCCATTATATACAGTGGTGGGATTCAGCGGGTTCGGGCGAACCAGTTGTTAAATTGCTGGCTGGCCTGGCCCACCCCGCCCCTTCCAGGAGTCCCCACATGCCCCGTTTTGGCTCCCAGGTAAGTGCAGGGAGGCCTACTAGGCCCAAAACATGGCACGGGGAGGAGGAACGTCCCCACACACTGTTTTTGCTCCCAGGGGGGTGCAGGAGGCCGAATGCCGCCTGTCACATCCCCTGACCAGGCCTACTATGGCCACGCCCACCCAGCCAGTCATTAGGTCAGAGGACCGGTTGTTAAATTATTTGAATCCCACCACTGATTATATGTTATATATGATTAGCCCATGGCAAGATGGGCGGCAAATAAATTTAACAATTAGTAGACAATAATCTCAACTACAGTCTAGTTTTGTCCCAAGTATCCTCACACTACTCAGAGCAAGCTAGAAACCCCAGATAGAGACCATCTCACAAATTCAGATATTGCTTCTCATATCTCACTAAAGGTGCATAGAAATTAATAATACAGGATACCATAATTGCTTCTGTTTAAATGGTTATGTTTACCCACACCTCCCTGAACAGCAAAAAAAAAAAAAAAAAAAAAAACCCACAATGCTTACAAATGTTTGTTTTGTTTTGCAAGGATTCCACTAGAGATATATTATTATTTTGCACTTTTTGTTCATTACGATTTTTTTCTTTGCAAATTATAGTTAATAATTTCTCTATTACGCTCAATTATAATTTGTTTGTCTGTTATAATTATAACAAGTTTTTCTATTATGCTCAATTGTAATTTGTAAAGGAAAAAAAAGTACAAAATACTAATAAATCTCTTGTTGAATCCTTGCAAAACAAACTAAACATAAGTAACGGTTGTGTTTTTTACTGTTCAGGGAAATGGAGGTAAACATAACCATTTAAACAGAAGACAATTATGATATCCTGTATCTCAAATATTCAAATATTTTCAAGCATTCCAGCAGTCAAGTTCTCCTAAATATCTACAAAGCCCCAAGTTG